AGAGCCAGCCTCTGACAAGCAAAGTCAATGGAGAAAGCCAGATTCACTTAATGAACAAATGATTGATTTAGCAACTGCTGTGGTTCACTTAAGAACTTTCTTTTGCAAGAAAGGCAAAATTTCACTAAACAACTATCTTGCTTAGCAACTGTAATTTTGGGCTCAGTTGTGGTTGTAAGTTGAGGACTACCTGTGTAGGCCTTCTGTGCAACAGTACAACTTTTAGTGAGCAGTCCAGCTGCATAAGTTCAGCTTCTGAATTCTCTTATGTTCAGGGAGAAGAGGTGGAGAAGGCTCAAAGCAAGTACTGGAGTTTTAGCTTCCCACCCGTGTTTTCCTGCAATACCTTGAATAATTTCCAGTTGGTGCAAAATGAAGCAGCATGCATGGTTTTGGGCAGACCTCAGTGTGCACATGTATCATTTCTCCTGTGGGATCTGCATTGGCTGCCGATTTGCTTCCAGGTGCAATTCAATGTGCTGGTTGTCACCTTTAAAGCCCTTCATGGCTTGGGACATGGTTATCTAAGGGACCATCTCTTGCCAGTCACATCTACCTGACTCACTAGAGTAAGGAGGCAAGGAAAGTTAAAAGTCCCATCACCTAGGGAGATACACCTGGTGTGACCCAGAAGAAGGCCTTCTCCATGGTGGCTCCCTATCTCTGGAACATTATTCCCCTGCTCTTCTGGAAAGAGCTGAAGACCTGGTTCTGCCAGTGGGCCTGGGAAACGCAGTGCAGGATGGAGCCCATTAAATGGCTCGTGTGATGTGTTATCATCAGAGCGGGGATGTGGGTTTATTTTATTTTATTATTTTATTAATTTATAATATGATTCTCTTTTATTAGTGTTATTGTTTTTGTATTGTTTTTTTTAAAAAATTTGATTTATATGCCGCCCTTCTCCTGAGACTCAGGGCGGCTTACAATGCATTAAGCAATAGCCTTCATACTTTGGTATATTTATACAAAGTCAGCTTATTGCCCCCACAAACTGGGTCCTCAATTTACCTACCTTAGAAAGGATGGAAGGCTGAGTCAACCTTGAGCCTGGCAACATTCGAACTTAGAATAATTGCAGACAGCTGGTGTTAATCATAATGCTATCAGTCTGCTGAGCCACCAGGCTATAAATACATATTTTTTATATTCTTCTAAGCCACCAAGTGCGAACAGGCGACAATATTAAATAAATAAATAAATAAATAAATAAATAAATAAATAAATAAATAATTCTCAGACCTGAATTCTGAGTGCTTTGACATATTTATTCTGGTATTTCTTCCAATAGGCTATCTCTGAATATTGAGTTAATCCTTTCTCTTTACAGTCCACATCCTGAGCTAGGAGCTGCAACTATGTGAGATATTCCCACACCAAATGTTTAACCTGCTATAGATATCACAGCTGAGAGCTGCTTGCTTGACTGAATCCTAAAAATGATGTGCCATAACATTCATGTAGATTGGCTTCATTAACAAGGCATGTCCATTGTACCACCTTCTTTCATTAGGCTGTTCACAGATTACTGATGGGGAAGTTGCCTGGTCTCAGGAAAATATAACATTGTAAAACAAAGGCAATATATTTGTTTGGTTTACATCCTATTTCTGTGCCGTGACAATAAGAAAACAACTCTGGACTCTGGCAGCAGCTATAGGGTAAATATGAACTGTATCTTTAAGATGAATTATCTTTGTTTCTCTGCCACTTGTTGGGCTAGTCCTTTAATAGTCAGACGTAGGTCCATACAGTAGACACTTGACTCTGAGCAGAATGCTGGTTTCTTAATTAACATATTAATACATCTTTATTGCAAATTAAAATGAAGTCATATAAGTTCATTGTCCTCTGTATAAAAGAGCAGTGTCCTCTTACATCAATTGGTTTCCCCCCCCCCCAGCTTTATACATATATAAAGCTGGGGGAAATCTTATATATATATATAAGATTCATTGTTCAATGCTTCATAACCTTGATCAAGCAGTTGTTGACCTTCCTGACATCTTTGCCTAGACTAGAGCACGGCTAGATCTTTGCTGAATTTTCACAATAATGATAATGCTGGCTGGCAAATTCTAGAAGTTAATGTTCACACACTGGGAACATGTTAAAATTGAAGAGAGATATGTTACATAAATTTAAACTTTAAGAGAATACTAGGAACAAGGGATTACACAACAGTTTTCATGAAGGCTGTCATAGAGAAAAAGTCATGGTCAGAGTGAGGATTCCCAAGAGGTTAAATTGTTTTTATATTTCCAACAACTGTTGAATTTTAATCTTCTGTTATTAGTAGGGCAATAATTTTCAGCCAGTTTTCTATTTTTTTTTATTTCAGTCAATTTTCTTTTTTCTTATTTCTTAGAAATATATATGTAATCTATATTTCCCTTTTCTCTGGTATCAGACTTGATACTGACGATAAAGCTGCTTCAACATATGAAAAAGCTAATATGCACATTTCATCCTAAAGGATGACTATGAAGCAGGAACTTTCATGTTATTTTGAAATCTTTCTATTGCTTTGAATTATAATTTGTGGAATATACCATTTATCAGTAGACTTTATAAGAAACTAGAACACCAAACCTGTAAAAATCTTAGAGTTGCTTACTATAGGCTATAAACTATAATGACCAAAGGCAAATATATGTGTCCCAGAATAATGTTGAAGGATCCAATCTTAGTTGGTGACCAGGACCAGAGGTCTGTGCTTCCAAGCTTTCAGAGTCATGCTGGAGCCCATCCTAATGCAATTTCTCAATCTCACACATCCTGGGGATTGAGAAGTTCCCTGAGGTTGGGCTCCAGTACAAGTCTGAAAACTTGAAAGAGCAAATCTCTAATCCTGATGATTGACTTAGATTGGATCCTATAAATAGTAAGTTACCTCAAGATCTGCTTTATTGATGGTGACAGAAAGAACACTTTATTTATTTAAATTATTTATTTTGTCAAGCATGTATTAGGTAATATATATACTGTAAGTATAAACATGATTATTAATACGTGAAATGGATATGAATAAAAGGGGATATTAGGACAGGGATGGTAGGAGATGCTGGTGCACTTATGCCTGCCCCTTACAGAACTCTTAGGAATGGGGTGAGGTCAACAGTAGACAGTCTAAGGTTAAAATTTTGGGGGGTTGGGGAAGAAACCACAGAGCCAGGTAGTGTATTCCAGGCATTGACCACTCTGTTGCTGAAGTCGTATTTCCTGCGTTCCAATTGAGTTTGGAGCGGTTTACCTTAAGTTTGTATCTATTGTGTGTTCGTGTATTGTTGTGGTTGAAACTGAAATAATCATTGACAGGTTGGATATTGTAGTAGATAATTTTATGTACTATGCTTAGGTCAGACTGACGTTGGCGTAGTTCTAAATTGTCTAAGCCATAATTTCAAGTCTGATGGCATAAGGTATTCTATTACAAGCAGAGGAGTGGAGGATTCTTCTCATTAAATATCTCTGGACTCTCTCAATTGTATAACTGTCCGATATGCAGTGTGGGTTCCAGACAGATGAGCTGTATTCGAGAATTAATCTAGCAAATGTTTTGAAACTTTCATCAAAATTTCCTTGACATAGTGCATAGCAGTAATTTGTCTTTGCCATCTTTCAGATTATAGGATCCAATCTGGGTCAGTCACTGGGGCCAGAGGTTTTGACTTTTCAGCTTTCAGATTTGTGCTGGAGCCCATGCTCAGGGAGCTTTTCCCTAGCAGAATGTGTGCTTTGGGTTATTCTACACATGGTATTTATATGGTGCCTGGTTGTATGTGGCTTTTTATTTGTTGAGTGGGGTGTTGATGGCTGGCTATGGCTATTAAGTCATTGGCTGTTTCTTTGTGCTGCCAAGTTTAAGAACTGTTCAAAGTTTCAAAAGTGCTGAATGTGTCATACTTATTCACTGGTCTTCTATGTTCCGATTGTTGTAGCACTCTGTGCTCATTAGATTGCGATTTGGGCATTCAGGAATCAATTTACAATTAACAATGATTGCAGAATCCAACCCTCACATGATTGCCATTTGTGACCTTCCCACAACCTTCCCACAAACAATCAATGAAGAAGCCAGGAGAAAAAGTCACAAGTTGCTCTAGTAAGTCCCTCTACCTTCCTGTGCATCATGCCACTGCATGATAATATATTTATGCCAACTGGACACAGTTTCTTTCTCTGGATTTTCTGATGCAATCCTTTTTGAAAACTAAAGTGCCTTTTCTCCTCCTTAAATATCAGTAACCTCTAGTCACTAAAAGTTTAGCTTTCCTGAAGAAGCTGAAAGCAAAGCAGGGTGATCATGAATCCAGGTATCCCTGGATTCTTTGTCCAAATGGTAACATCCAGGAAGGAATATTACTCTGAATTGTTTGAGATTTGGTGTAGTAGGGGTGGGCATAACATTCAGGGTCTAGGACCAAAAAGGAGGTGCTGCTTCTCTTGAATAGTCTCTAGAAAAGGACATCAACAATACATACTGCACACTGCTGCACACTGAACAGTGTATGAAGGGAACACATGTGTTCCCTTCACACATAAGAAGATAAATGGGGACATTGTTGGCTGTGAGAGCAATTTATCTGGGCATTGATGCAGGCTGCTCTTGGAAATTTGTTGAGACTCACATAAAGAAAAGAAAAAGACCATTTAAACATGCATTAAAGGTGTAGAAACTTTGATTCCATATACAGGAAACACTAATGAAATAGTAGAAACTTGTGATTTCATATCTCAAACACTGGTTTAGGTGGCATGTTTGATTTTGAAACCACATATAAAGTTGCTTTGAAGGGAGCAACTAAAGAAACCATAACTGATTTAATGAACTCTTTATCATTCACTGTGGTAGAAGATCTTTAATAAAGAAACAACTTTTGTATACTTTCTACGCAGTGTGCAAAGGAACCACTTCTAAGTCTTCTTTAATTAAAATCTTTCATTTGAAAGTATACCATACACAATATGTTTTTACTCAGTAAGTAATAAATTCAGTCTTTTTATATCATGGGTTAGACCAATATATATTGTTAATAAGGTTTATTTTTTTCAAATATTTTAAAGTATTAATTTATGAACAGTATAATTCAAAACCTTAAATTTTGAATGTATTGTGTCCAATAGGTTTTATCCTTGGATAAGATACAGTTATTGGTTAATTTAATTCTTGATTATCTACAAGAGATTGTGAATCCTTATGAAGAATAACCGCATTGTCGCTATACAAAGAATTGTCAAATCCAGCAGAGACTTGTTGTTGTCTGTTTCTTCTTCTGTAGAAAATATAGGCTGCAATTCCTGCACCAATGACTATGAAGATAATTGGGAGAACTACCCCTACAGCTGTGCCATGTGTCGATAGAGATGCCACTCTTTTCTGCACTAAAATATCAAAGAGAAGAAAAAGCACTGAATACAGTTATATTGTAATAAAACTCTGACTTATTTTTTTTTATTGAGAAAGAAGCCAAGAGAGATTGCATCCTATCCAGCAGTCTAATAAAGGCAACGCTAACAAGAGTCAACTACCAATCCCAGGAATTTGTGAACTGTAACTCAGTAAAAGAGAGTAACTGCAATACACTGTCTTTTCCTGTTCATTTCAGATCCCAAAGGAAATTGATACGTGTTGCCTGTAAAAGATAAGGATTGACAGTCTTGATGTAAAACTTGATGCTAGAAAATGTGAATTCTTCCACAGCAAATATAAGAATAAATTGCTATGGCTATCACTTTTTGCTAATTATTTATTTGGGAACTGAAAATAATCACAATTATTCAATCTCACTAAGATTGAAGGAGGATTTTCATAAAGAGATCGCCCATGTGATCTCATCTATGGAAGGGGAAATTAGGAATACAATTTTGGACTGACACTGTGGGGAACAAACATTCTTTTCTTTCTGTTCTGCAACAAAACATGTTACAGACCTGTCTTTTTATTTATTTTTTCCAAATGTATAAAGATATAGTGATTTGAGACTGTATCTATAAAATATGCTCGTTTCTGATTGACAGCTATGATATTTGGATAGCAGCTGCTAAAATCTCAAGGTTGCCTACAATAAAATTATTTCCAGTTCATTCTAAGAAAAAAAAGTTAATAAAATGGCAATTGGCAGCCACCTCAAGAATCTTCATAGCTTCCATTTCATTAAAATAGGAAAAAATATTTAAAACAAAAATTAACTACTGTAACTTAACTTACTGGACATACAGTAAGTCTTCATAACAATTTTGAATACATTCTATTGTCATTTAAATCTTTTAATCTACAAACATAGGTTGCTCTATTCAGCTCACAGATATGGAAAATGTATTACTGAACTTTAAAAATAATACTTAAAATTACTTTCTTACCTGAGATTTCTGTAGGCTTTATAGTTGATTCTTCAATAACTAGAAAATAACCAAATGTTTTCAGTATATAATTACTGTTCATGATTTACTGTATACCACTAAGATAGCAATGAAGAAGGATACAAAAACTTGTAATTTAAGACACAAAAACTAAAAATAATACTTTAGTCTAAGGATAGAATAGCCAGGTAGAAATGCAACATTTCAGAAGTAATAATAAAGCAATCCAAAGTTCCTTCTTTAGATAGATCTAAAATATTATGTAATAAACTTTGTATAGCATCATTCCTGTCTTTTGATATTCAATTTATTCAGCTCCATGTCTTAGCAATAAAAGATTAGTTCATTGATACCATAAAAAAATTGAAATAATAATTAAGGGGCAACAAATGATGAAAAGAAAACTTTGTTTGTTGAACATTTATCAAATGCTAACAGTATAATTAATTATCAATATTAATATGTCATTCAATTATTAGTAGCAAAAATTAATATATTTTGCAATTGATTCTATTTTTACTCCTATTGTTTAATTTAAGATAATGTATTACTTGAAACAGAAATAATCTAAGGAGGAAGATGACAAGACAAGACAAGACAAGACAGGGAGAGAGGGAGGGAGGGTAGGAGGAGAAGAAAGAAAGAAAGAAAGAAAGAAAGAAAGAAAGAAAGAAAGAAAGAAGAAAAAAGATAAATTATAATTAACTATTTAGAAAGACAACAAAATATGAACAATAAAATACATTAAACATAAGTCACATTGAGAATTCTTAACATATGCAAGTAGAAAAATCTGCCCATCACGAAATTAGAAATATTTCAAATATTCTTGGATATATTTTAAAAATGACCAGATAATAATATGGTAAAAATAATTCCAAGGATCATGCATCTAGACAGAAAATAGGAATTAGAGTATTTTAGGAAACTGTATAATTTAATGTATATTCAATAATCAAATATTATTTTCAATCTAATATCATGGATAATGATAATAAGGCTTACTTTTGTTTCTTTTACAAATAAATGGTTTTGATTGATAACCTCCGCAGTTTCCCGTGAACCATAGACCAGAATAACTATCCATGTAAACGCACATGTCAAGAAATAAGTCAATGTCCTCTTCTCTATCCAAATGCAGAGAATTTCTTAACTGTTGTTCATTCCAGTTGACAAAAGTAACTTTACTTTTATCTTGCCATATCCATTCTCCTATAGACAAAACAAATATATAGCATAATGTTTAAAAAGGAAAAGAACTGCCTGTGATGAAAAGGCATGGAAGTATATTAACACTCACTCTAATAATGATATCTAATTGGGTGATGTAACATCTGCAAGCAAACAATAAAGTTCAAGGAGTACCATGGACTCCTCAGCTTTGGAGCTACAGACATTGTCTTCTATCAGAACCACATATATGAATTAAATGTTTTAGAAAGTACACAAATGGGAGAGATTTGCATGTAAGCAAATCTTCACTAAGGAACAACTATTCCTGCATCATGAATGTAGGACAGCATGACCTGTTCATCAGTGTCAGATACAAACCCCTCAATAAACTGCACAGCTGGAAAAAAAGTAGCTCAAACAAATGATCATGGTTGCTCAACTCAGATTGAACAAATACTAGCCTCAAATATAAGGTTATAACAAATATAACCTCAAAATTACCAGAACAACCATGACCCCAGAAAAAAATATGCTAATACCATTTGCCATAGTTGTTCCAATTCAATTTGCAAATCTTTTGAGATTTATGATTTTCTTCTCTCCTCTCCTCCTCCCCTCCCTCCCTCCCTCCTCCCTTCCCCTCCTCTCTCTTTCACCTGTCTTGAGATAATGCCACATTATCCAGGCTTTTTTTATCACTTTTATCACTTTGATTCGTAATTGTTAGAAAGGGATTTTATGTGACAGGTGCTTGTCTGAATAAATTCTAAAGCCCAGAACATTTTAGTTTCTTAATTGTTTATTACTTTATTTATTTTGTTTATTTTCCCATCAATTCTTTCTTGTAGGCAAATAGTATTTCTTGCAGATCTTTCAATCATCTTTATTGTTACTTTGTCATGCTATTATTTGTAGAAAGTCTGTGGAAATCTTTTTTCAGTAGCTTAACTAGTTGGTCCAGTTTCTTCAGCTTCTCCACAGAGGCAGCATTTGCTATCTGTTGATGTATTCTCAATTCTAGCTTAGTATGAATTTGTCCTTGTGTAGTCTCTTTCTCTATCTCTTTCTTCAATTTTCCTGCTGTCAGCTATTATTGTTATCTGTTTTCCCTGCTCCCCCCAGTACTCGGTAAGCCTTCATGGTATACTAGCTTCACTATCCTTCAAATATTCTTCCAATGCCATTTTTTTTTTCTTCAACAGTCTGATGGACTTGAAAAATTCAAAACCCATCTATTTTATTTATTTATTTATATTTCATATTTCTAAACAGCCCATCTCCCTCAAAATGATTCTTGATAAATTGTTTTCCTTGGTAAGACTCTGTCAACATTACTATGTTGATAGGGCTTATAGTTCAGCTTGAGTCAAGTTATTCCAGCTGTATATATGATTGTAATTATCCAGGTATTGGTAGCCTTGATGTATTTCAGTTTGGACTTTAAGATTTTCTTCACTGTCTTTGTATATTCACTAGTACATTAGTTTCTGTAAGTTACATTTCATCATATTGTTTATAGGAGAGACACTCTTTGTCTGACAAGAACTAATCTAATATGGTTGAACGTCTGGCATAACTCTCACATTCTCCAGAGAATATAAACCCCACTACCACATCAAGGCAGAGTTTAACTGTGGGATTATTATTATTTACAGTATATAGGTAAATATTAGTTAAATAATTACCATCCAGATTTTTGAATAAGCCTATCCAAAATGCCTTATATCTAAATTTTTCCATTTCTTCTTGTAAAAATTGTAATTCAGTTGAGTCTTCGATTGAAGCCAAGGTGCCACCTACAAAACATGAGGTAGGTTAAAGCTCATTAAGAGATTCTATCCCCATCCCAACAAAACAGTGGCGATTTCATTCCCATCACAAGCAATAATTTTAGGTTTGAATATCTTAAAGAAGCAAATAATCTTCTGTTTCTAAAACCTATTTGATTTGTATTATGTAATATGCTTATGATAAAATACCATTGCAGCTTATCCTTTGGGGATAATGCTACAGAAATTAAACTTGGTAATTAAACAAATATTCTGCAAAAATAGAATTTTGCAGAATGTACAGAAAGACAATATATTCTGTTCTAAATTCTCCACAGTATTTGCCAATCCAATTTCAATATCATATATACATTTTTTCTTTAAAGAGAAAGTATTAACATAATACCTATATCACATGCAATTTGGAGAGTATGTATGTCATTAGCTATAGAAACATAACAAAATCATGGCAAACAATAAATAATAAGTACCCAAGCACACTCTGTTTTGATGACCAAATTATCTGTCCTAAGTCACTCCCTGAAGCTGAAAAGCAGTTGCTTGAAGGCTCAGCACAGATGCATCATAAAATCATAGAGCTGGAAAGGATCTTAGAGGTGTTTTAGTCCAACCCACTGCTCAAGGCAGAAGTAAGACCTTGTGCATCCTGGACAAATGAATGTCTAATCTTTTCTTGAAATCTTCCAGTAATGGAGCACCCACAACTTCGGGAGGCAAGCTGTTCCATTTGCACTTGTTCTTATCCTACCCTCAATGTGCTTTAGAGAATAAGTCAACTGCCTCAACTCTGTGGCTCATCTCTGTGGCTCTCAAGTATACGAGAAGACAGCTACCACATCACCCCTAATCCTTCTCTTTGTTGACCTGGACATACTTACTTCCCTTAACTGTTCATCAAGGCTAATATTAACTGTTAAAGTTAAGTTTAAGGTTGCATTAAGGTTCTCTTGAGTTCAGCTGAGTACTTTTGAACATGCCCAGAAGATAATTCTACCAGGGTAGCTAGTAAAATAAAGCCACTGTCACTTTGCTTTCTGAGCTGTCATGTGCAAATGTCTTCTAGGTATGTCCAGACATTTTGAAAAGACTTCAGAAGGGTCTTAAGCAACCATACCAAGCCTTAATTGACATAGCTGCTGTGTGGCTATATGTTCACATATAATAAGTTACTTTCTAGCTGTGTATCATCAAATTGAAAGAAAGTTATTGCATGGTGAACTATGTTGTTTTTCATCCCACCAGATGGTTTTACTCAGTTGAAACCTTCCTTTTAGTAATTATTTTCAGAGGTTATGAAAAATACAAAAGTATTTATTTATCTTTATACTACCTATGTTTTCCCAAAAATAAGACCCAATCTTATATTTTTGGGGTCTCCAAAATAAGCACTTGCTCTTATTTTTGGGGAAACACGATTTCAGGTGATCAGCCCAGCTGGGTACCTTACCTCCTGGCATGCACACAAGAGGCAGTAAGTGCACAAGGACCGACAGTATCCAGCAGTAGCTACAGCCCACCGGTCTCTTGGACAGCTCATGGGGTTGTGCAGCTCATGCAGCGCAGGTGAGTTGATTCCTTGTCAAAGCAGCAGATGGAGGCAGGTGTAGGGGGAGAAGGCAGGTGATCCAGATGCATCATGTGGGCCATGGGAAAGCTGAGAGTTGTTGGGCTGGAGCAGGTGAGCGGCCACAGAAGGCTCATCTTCGTGTGGTGGCACCAGCAGCAGACAGAGACAGAGGTGTGGAACAGAAGGCAGATGATCCTGACTCACCATGAGGGCGCAAACTAAGACACACGAAGATTAGCCTTCCCCAGCCAGCCGCCCATTCTGGCCCACTGACTCTCAACTTTCCTGCGGCCCATGCAACATCACCTGCCTTCTCCCCACACTTCTGCCTCCATCTGCTACTGGTGCCATCGCATGAAGATGAACCTCCCATAGCCACCTACCATTCCAGCCCACCAGCTTTTGGCTTTCCTGCAGCCCATGCTGAGCATCTGGATTTCATGCCTCTGCCTTCACCTACTGCTTGGCCAGGTAATCAACTCACCTGCCCTATGGCTATGGCTGCTGCACCGTCAGCTCACATATGCTCAGCACCTCCTGCCTAGCCTCTTTCACTAGGGCTTATATTTGAGGTAGGGTTTATATTAGGCGCGTGCTTAAAATCAGGCTAGGGCTTATTTTTGGTAGGTCTTATTTTCAGGGAAACACAGTATGCACATTCTATATAACATCTTCCTACATTCTCAACAGCTCTTCTTTCAATAGTTTTATAGGATAGAATATAATACAATAAAAGTTGAGTTGCTGGCTGAATTTGACACAGATGTGTTTATTAAAAATCACTGTAAATGTAGAACCTGGCAAGGTTTCCCTAAACATAGAAAATTACTGTTATCATTAAATACCTCAAAAGGATACTAACCTATATGAGAACAAATCACGGATGCTGCTGGCCAAGTTTCCATTGTAAGGTAAATTTTATAACAATGACCTCTAAAAGGAATCCAAGATATACGGTTGTTTTTGGAGGTTTGGCATTTTCCTGGCAATTGTGGAATCTCAGTTGGCACTACACCTGTTATGAAACAAATAGGTTTTCTTTATTAAAGAAAATGCATATGCAAGCAACTAGCCACTAAGGAAATTATTAATAATAAGCAGTATAAATAATAACTATAATAAAATAAATTCATTATTTTCTAGGTGAAACTCATTAGAGCCCTCCTGTTTTTAAAAGTTTAGGTTATGACTTTGTTGATAGAGGTAGTCCTCAATTTATGACCACAATTGAGTCCCAAATTTATATTGCTAAGTGAGACAGTTGTTAAGTTAATGTGGCCCATTTTACGATCTTTCTTGCCACAGTTGTTAAGAGTATCACTGCAATTGTTAAGTTAGTTGTTATGTCCCCAATGACATGGCTTGTCAGAAGGTGAACACATGATCTGGAACACTATAACTGTTATAAATATGAGTGAGTTGCAAAGCATCCCAATTTTGATCACATTACTATGAGGATGCTGTAACGATCGTAAGTGTGAAAAACACTTCACTTTTTTTAATGCCGTTGTAACTTTAAATGGTTGTTAAATGAACTGTTGTAAGTGGAGAATTACCTGTATATGCCACATTTAGTAATTAGGCACTAAGTGAAATTGAAATTAAAATGCAAACTCTATTAAAATAAACATATTATTTTGCTTACCATAATATCTCTCGCAAACAGAGAAGTATTTTTCACTGCAATTTCCTGTTTTCCAAAAACCATCAGTGTCTAGGTAGACACAGGCTGTCTTATGCAATGGTTCTCCAGCAGCCCATTTAGTGTACGCGAGCCTCCAGTTACTTACCCACTTGTACCTAGAATCACTCTGAAACCAAAATGCATAAGGGAATAATTACAGGAAGTACAAGAAAAAGTATTATTGATTTAATTTCACTATAGCCATCCTCACTTAATAACTGTAACTTGGACATGAATTTACATTGCTAAGCAAAGCACTCATGTAGTGAAACATTGTGTGACAACATCACTTAGCAACAGCAGTTCTGGCACTCCTAGTTGTGGTGATTAGGAGACGACTGCACTGTACACCATCATTAGGCAATAACCTTGCATTATTCCTATCCTGCCACACGCACCTCTGCTTCAACTCCCCATACATTCTCTCTCCCCCCTCTGCAATTTTGGCTATCTTCCACTTCATCACTACCCCATCACCTACCCTGCCACCCCTCCATAACAGCCTTGCAGAAGAGGAACAGCGACTTCAACTAGGAGTGCCTTGTCAGCAGGGAAACCAAAAAAACAGGGAGGGACAGTTTGGGGCAGTGAGGAATGTCAGGGTAGGCATGGGCAGGAACGGAGTCCAGGGCCAAAAGGGCAGGGGGAGATATGGAGGCAATGCGAGTTGATGTACTTTCTGTCATCTGAAAAGAGGGAAGACTGCCAAGAAAATGAATTTTGATTGTGTGATCCCAGGAGCATTGCAATTTGAGAATCAGCCATAACTACCATTGAGCACTATCATAACTTCAAATGGTCACCGAGTGAATGGTTGCTAAGTGAAAATTATCTGTACCCCTTTTTCATTGCCAACTGGAGTCCATGGCCTCTTCTTTAACTATGAGAAAAAGCCACCCAGAGCTGCTTAAAATAGGAACAATATAAATCTTTTACAGAAATAAATCAATTCTGTGAAAGCATTTAGTCTTCAAGGTTCATTTAGAAAATTGGCACATATATGTCATGTCAAGGGACTCATTTAGTGACTGTGGACACTTACAGCAGAAATGAAAAAGGAACTTTATCAGTCATCTTTGCATTTACAACCTTTGCAGATCAGTAGCGTTGCCAGTCCCAAATATGGTTGCTAAACAAGGACCATCTCTACCCCTAACACTTTCTACTCTTAGAAATCCCGTTCTTGAGTTCCTTATCTATGTGACAATTTTTCCAAGTATACAATTTTAAATATAGGGCTTCATTGTGAACGTATAGATTTTGTTCTTACGTCTTTGCTGCTTAGTCCAATCCAAACAGGCTCCTTGTATCTGAACACTTGCAGCCATATGAATGATTCTGTATAGGGGTCTGAAATGGTGGCAAGTTTTGAATTTTCAGATTCACATTTCTTCCTTGCTTCTTCCCAGGTCATCTTGGGACTAACCATTGAATAGCTGCTATTTCCATAACTGATATAGTGAGATGCTGGAACTGTTGGTTCAGAGTAAGGTTCAGGACCTATTTTTTTAAAAAAAATTATCAGTCAATATCACACACAATTCTGCTATTTTTTTATTCTGAAAACCCTTAATATTTAATTTCTATCTTTTCTTAAAATATCCTCTCAGTTCCATACCATGACCAAACTTTATTCAAAAAAAATCAAGAGCACATTAAACAAATTGGTACAGTGAGTAACTTTAAGGAGATCTTGGGTATAATATAAATGTATATCTTTAGTTATCCCAAATATGTCAACCTATGAACTCAGGACTTTTGGCCAAATAACTGATTCAATGCTGTAGAAAGTTAGTACCCACCCTTCTCCTAGAAGAATGAAATATTCTAGGAAATATTAAAAAGGCAGAATATTATACCTCCTTGGATGAGAAAAGGAATGCTCTTTCCATGCTCTCGAAAAGCAGTCCCCACTTTTGTTAATAGCCCCAGAAAGACTGGGCCGTCCTATCTACAAGACAAAAGGCTGGGCCAGCTTATCTACAACACAAAAGACCTTCAGCCTCAGGCAGTAGTGGGTTTCATGTACCTTCACTACCGGTTTGGAACTGTGAGTGTTCGCTCATGGCGCTTCTGTGCATGTGCAGGACCTTCTGTGCATGCTCAGAGCATCCGTGATGACATCCGGCTGGATGGGCAAAGCTTCCCACTCCCACCACTACCAGTTCACCCAAACTGGGATGAATCGGTAGAAATCCACCACTGCCCTCAGGACATAATAGGATTAGCCATCTACCCATCTCACCACATGGCACCTGGGAAGATTACATCACTCAGCAAGATTCAACCAAGCCTGGGACTCAACCTACAAAGTTACCATTGCATGGCCCATTGGAGTCTGACAACCAATCAGAATACATTTCTTTCACAGGAACAGGAAGCAAGTTCAAAGCCCAAGAGAGGGTATAAATATATCTCACTCTCCATTCCATCTGGTCAGCTACTGAGGACTTCAAACCATGTGGTCTTGTCAATCATTAAACTATCTTTCCAATCAGCCTCCATGTTTCTAGCGTCTTTCTTCCCATTTAGACTGAACCCAGATGGACATTTCTTCCAACAATGCTAATAAAAGTCTTTATATTGGGCTTCAGGTAGTTGGTATCATGATTATGTTTGTTAGTTCATTTTATATAAATATTTCCTGAAGTTGATGGTACTGTGATTTAAATTTACAATTTCTATATATTCCTTCCATTGTATTTTCTTGGTTACCCATCTGGCTTATTGCAATCTTACTTGGTTCAAACATGTTTGTTCACCCAGGTTTTTCTTTTTATATCTACAATTTTTATTAAAACATTTTAAAAAGATGATAAAATAAATTTTATCATCTTTTTAAAATGTTTTAATAAAAAACTAACATAAAGTAGGGAAGAAAAAAGAAAAGAAAAGTAATCAAGCAAAAATAAAAATTCAAGAAAAGAAAAAAGGTTGAAGAAAACTAGGAAAGAAAGAAAGAAAGAAAGAAAGAAAGAAAGAAAGATAGATTACAATGTTTTTCACAGCAGTTATAACTAGATATGTTGCTGTAGTTATATGCTTAACCTCTCTGACTATCCTAAATTGCATTATATTGATCTTCCTACAACCTATCTAATGCTCAAAATCATAGCTCACAAATTCACTTTTTTCAAATTCTGATATGGATCTATAGAAGATAATCTAAATCAGAGTTCCCCAACATTTCTGGCTTTGTGGACTGGTGGAAGGGATGATTCATGCAAGAGCCAGCAAGCATGTACGCACGCAACTCCATTAGTGTGAGCAGTGTACGCCTGTTGTGCATGCAAACGGAGCACGCACGCCCACGCTCACCTGCTGCTCACACAAATGAGGTTGTGAATGCGCGTGCTCATATTCACTGCCATTTTCATGGTCCAGTTGCAAACCCCTCACAGCCAACTAGTGGGCCCTGGCCCATAGGTTGGGGACCTCTGATATAAATTACAAATCCTTATTCTCGGAAACTGAATTATTTTCCAAGATTTCTACAAGCTTACCAGTATTTTTTTGGCAGATGTAGGTCATCTTAGAAGAACAGGATCCAATTCTCCAATATCCTGCAAGCCTTTCAGGTTTTGTCACCATAAAAACGCAGTCACCCTATAATGTTTTTGCATAGCAAGAAAGACAATACAGTCACTGACATCATGATTGGAACAGTCGTTCTGGGACCTCTCCTTTATAATCTCCTTTATAATCTCCTTTATAATCTCCTTTATAATCTGTTTCTGGTAACTATAGAAGATGATTGCCATGTCAGTATCTGTCACTTGTCATTATGTCCCATAGAGTCTAGCACAGAAGCATCCTGAAGCACATACAATAGAAGCATATTGGGCCTCCATGAAATCTTTTCTTCAAAGGAAGATGCTGCCACTGACTATGGTATAGAACGGAAGAGTTAGAAGGAAGTCAGTGGTCTCTAACAATAGCTTCAATGAATCTTTATAGTCAGGGTACTTCATGAATGTTAGCGAATAATATGCTAAGGCTGTGCAGAATATGTGCCATCTCAGGTGAAGGAACCATTTAGACAGCCATCTCTTCCCAAAAGTCCCAGTGTATCTGTGCATTCAGAGCAGGGGTGCTATTCAGCAGGTTCTGACAGGTTCTGGAAAACCAGTAATGGAAATTTTGAGTAGTTCGGAGAACCGTGAAATACCACCTCTGGCTGGCCCTAGAGTGGAGTGGGAATGGAGATTTTGCAATATCCTTCCCCTAGGAATGGGGAGGGAATGGGGATTTTGCAGTATCCTTCCTCTGCCACGTCCACCAAGCCATGCCCACAGAACCGGTAGTAAAAAAGTTTGAATTCCACCACTGATTCAGAGCCACTATGCTTTTTTGGCAAACCTGTCAAAAGGGACATCCGCACATACACAATCATGGAAACAAACTGGAGAAGCCTTCAAAGATGCCACACTGGACCTTCTAGCCCCCAAGATGGAAAATGTGTTCTTTGCTTGTGTTACCAAGCTTTGCCCTTTGGGATTCTGTGCCCAGTTCATTGCATACATAGAAGTTAAGAATCAAATCACTTCTGTGAATTTGAAGGCTGTAGCAAGATTTATGGATCAGGCCAGTGGTGGGATTCTGGGGGTTCTAGGGGGTTCAGCTGAACCCTTTGTTAAATTGCTGGCTCGCCCCGCCCCTTGCCCCGCCCTTCCGCACTACTATTTATTGCCAATAAATGGGGCAAGCGAGCCAGCAATTTAACAAATGGTTCGGTGTTTTTTTGTAATTTATTGGCCCCGTAGCACACCGAACCGTTTGTTAAATTGCTGGCTTGCCAGCCCCTCGCCCCGCCCCGCCTCCCACCCGCGCGGTGCCAGCCTACCGTAGCCAGGCGTAGGCAATTGTGACTCTTTTACAACCTGTGGACTTCAACTTCCAGAATTCCTGAGACAGCTTGGCTGTCTCAGGAATTCTGGGAGTTGAAGGCCACAGGTTGTAAAAGAGCCACAATTGCCCACCTCTTCCCTAGCCTGAGTTCCGCTGCCTAGGATCCACGTGGGCTGCCACATGGTTCCCCACTGGCTCCGGACGCAAGAGAGCAGGATGGAGAAAGCAGCTTCCACGCCTTCACTCACCCTCACTCTCTGCTCTGTTGGATCGCCGGCCGTTCGCTTACCCCGCCCACTCCCCATCTATTGCTGCCTCCGGAGTCCCAGCTGATGGCTAGAGGAAAAAAAACTGTTCAAATTCTTGCCGCGGGGCTTCAAAGGACCGCCCTAGAGCCAGTGGTGCAGCCGAACCCTTTGTTAAATTGCTGGCTTGCCCCGCCCCTCCGCACCACTATTTATTGCCAATAAATAGTGGTGGGCGAGCCAGCAATTTAACAAATGGTTCGGTGTTTTTTTGTAATTTTATTGGCCCGCGGAGCTTCAGCATAGGCTAATTAGCCCTTGCTTAGATCGGCTCCCGAGTCTCAGCTGATTTGTCTCAGCTGTTTTGCTCAGGGCTCTGCTGCTTGCTGGAGCAATTTTTTTTCCCCTAGCTATCCTGAAAAACGAAACTGAAACTGCTTTGCTGTTGCTGCAAGGTTGGATAATTAGGCAGGCAGATTTCTTTTCTTTTTCCTCACCAAAAAAGGTAGGTGCAAACAATGGGAAATTTAGGGCAAAAGAGGAGAGTTCAAGATTTTAAAACACAAAAGAAAAAAAGCTCTATTTAACTAGGGAATTGTAATAATTGAGATACTATTAATTGTATATTTCTGAAAGCAGAAATGGTTAAGTTGTGGTTTGGAGGAATATATGGGGGAAATTATTTGGTTTATTATTATTGGTAAATATAATTAATTGATTTGTAAGAAATTGGATTGCATGGAAATAATTGGAATATTCATGTTCATATTGATTAATATACAAAAAAAGGTAGTTATATAACTAATTGATTTATATTAAAATGTTGAATTTATATTAAACAACTGTAATATTACATAATTAACCAATGTGAGGATGGATATAAAAATATATGACAATGGGAAGGGGTATAATATAGAATAGAAGGGAAAAATTGAATTTGATTAAGATTGGAGATGAGGATGAAGGGTAATATTGGTTTTTTACAAAAATAGATGAGAAATAAATATGGCAAAAAGGAAATATAGAAATTGTAAATTTAATTGAAATGACTAAACACTGTTTAAATTTGTGAACCGGCCAAATACTCTGTTCAAAGAAAATACATTGTTTGTATGTGTGTTTCTAATTATTGTTATTTATTCATATTTGTTCTCTTTTATTCTTTAAAGTTTAACAATTCATTCTTTATATTTGTTTGGGGTTGGCTTTCTTCCTTTTCATCTTTTTTATTGTACAGCAATCTTTCTCCTCAAACCTACCATCTCTCTCTTTTCTTTCCTTCTTACTTTCTCTTCCTCCCCCTCTTCTTCTCCTCCCTACTTCCTCTTCCTTTCTCCTTCTCCTCTATTCCTCCCTCTCTTACCCTCTCTCATACTCTAATTTCCCTTCCCTTCCTTCATCCCTCTCTATTGCTGTATCCTTTTATGCATATGGACTACTCAGAGGGCTGAAAAAGTTATTTCTGACTGGTCCTCGCACTTTTGACCAGTCCTCGAACTTACGACTGTCCTCACATTTTACGTTTTTGCCCTATCTTGTCACCATGGTGAAGAGAAGCAGTTGTGAAATGAGTGACATGGTTGTCAAGAAAGCTGCACAGGCATAAATGTGAGGATGGTCATAAGTGTGAGGACCGGTCAAAAGTGCGAGGCCCAGTCAGAAATGACTTTTTTTCAGCCCTCTGAGTAGTCCCTATGCACATAGCCACGCCCACCCAGTCACATGACCAGCTAGCCATGCCTACACAGTCACGTGACCAGCTAGGCACGCCCACCCAGTCACATGATTGCCAAGCCACACGCTCAACTAAGCAACGCCCACAGAACCTGTTGTTAAAAAAATTGAATCCCACCACTGGATCAGGCATTCTAAATCCGGCAGAGTCATTTCTTCTCCATACTTATTTTAATTTTATATATTGGTATTCTTTACTTCTATAGATTTTTTTTATTTTAAATTTCATTTTACTGGATCATTTTTTTTCTTTAACTGAGTGTTGGCGTTAGTAAAATTCTCCAAAATATAATATTCATGGCATATTTTTTATTCATAAAAGGAGCAACAGGAGTTAAGACTTTCAGCATTATATCACCCTCTATTGATGAGGAGAAAGCACAACAGACTTTTCTTATTTAATAGACAGAAAAGATCTGAAATATCATCTGTTTTATTCATTTATGCATTTGTTCATTAAATTTATATAGCCAGCTATATCACAAAAAAGGGACACCTTTCCATATATATTTTGTATCATTGCAGGAATTCAACATCAAGGAGATTAACTACACATTTGTGGGGAAATAGAACAAAAAAACCCCAACCAATTGGACTTACATCGATTAAACTAGGTGCCCCTTTAGCCCAATTTGTAAAATAGACTCCACTCCCATCAGTCCAGAGGAAACGTCCATTCCAATTCTTGTCAGTCAATCCAGTCCAAGTATTACCACTAACACTTTTTAATTGCACTGTGAGAAAAGCTGAGGGGTGGGGATGGGGTAGAAATACAGATATATTTTACAATAAAGTTTTGTCAGGCTCATCATCACCAATTAAATTTTGTTCCAACTTTTCAAAAGTTTACTTTGATTATATTAGATTTTAAAAAGTACCTCAGTATACCAGACCAAATTCTGCTCACATACAATATTTATGACAGCCATTTCTATGTTCCCATCTTAAGAACATCGCAGGTGATCATCCATAAGGCCTTTCATGGCATAGAGCTTGGCTATCTGAGGAACCTCCTATATCGAATTGTTTCTGTCTGCCAGATATATTCTGGCCGGAGGATGCCTTCCTTTTGGATACTAGATGGTACCAAGACCATTAACAGAACAGAACAGAATAAAAGGAGGATGGCAGGAAAAAAGATGCACAATTTAAACTGCTGCCATAGAGTTATCCAGATGGTAGCTTCCATCTCATATTCCTGATGTTTTAAGAGGCAAAAATCATGCCTGTTCCTGTTGGGTGCCAGTATTTGGAGTAAAGCTTGTTCATATGTTGATTAGCTAAACTGTGGGATAAGTAAATTTTTTCTTCTGATTAGTTGGCAGGTCACTGGATATATTTAGAAGAGTTACTAACTTTATTGCAATTGCTTTTGCCATCAGATGCCCACTCTAGCAGACTCTGAGTGGCTTGCCAAATCCAACAAAAAAATATGAAATAGCACAGACATATCCACCCAAAACAATGAACAATAGCAATAACATGGAACAACACCTGCCCCACAAATTCATTAACCCGAGGCTTGGGATCAGGACTAGGTCTGGCTCTGGTCTGAGTGCTGTCAGTAGCTCTGGCAAGCTGCTGCTCCAGAGTGGGGAGGGGGAGGGGGGCTGCAATACAGAGGGCAAACTTCTTCAGTCGCACAGGATGACAACATTTAATAAAAGGGACCTGGAGTGAATCCTCCCAACAGAATGTACTTGGCAAGCAGAAACCATTGGATCCAGGCAATTCCACAGATAGCCAAGCCCCATGCCATGATAGGCTTTGTAGATCACCAAGCACTTAGACCGCACCTGGAAGCTTATTGACAACCTATCTAAAAATGTCTTTGATCAAGTGTGGCCAAATAACTAAACAGTCATAACTGCTTAGTCATATCAGGATTGAACTGAAATCTGTTTTGCCCACCCAGGCTCAACAGGCTTCCAGATACTGGTCAGCACATCAACAGCTTTTCCTACCTTGAGCAAGGTTGAAATATAAAGCTGGCTATCAAAAAGTACTGATACTGAACCCTGAGCCAAAGAATGAGCTCACTTCATCATATAACCCGTATGTTTTATGTAAGTTACAGTTTATACGTTCTAGATAACTATGGGTGAAGGTTGGTTCTTCATTAATTTGACCGTTAAATGCAATAAATAAATATATGTGCTGCTCCATAAATAAATATTTTATCAAACTCTGCTTTGAAACAATCCAGTTACACATTTGTAACTGCTTTAAACTCATACCTAACTCATATATTATTGCCGATGCACACTTTTTATATTATTGTAAAATTACTTTGAAATCTTATTGTCTTTTTTATTTTCAGCATGGCAACCTTTGAATTGGGAATGAGCTAAAAAGGGAATGGAGCCATGGAGAAGGAGCATATCCTAAAGACTCTGGCAACATTTTCATATCATCCAACAGCAAAAGCTTATATAAACTGGAGGTTAGGAAAGAAGATTGGGCATAGTAATTCTTATAAAAGTAATTTAAAAAGAGATTCCTTGATTTTAAAAGAAATGTTAAGCTTACACAATTAATATAGTTTAGAGAAGTGACTGTACCTTGAACAGCTTTGTTTGGTATACTAGCCAGATTTCCTTCTAGATTCCTGCAGTGATCACGTGCAGCGCTCCAGTTTTTCTTTTCCTCTTCTTTGAAGCCAAATATTTGGAAGCACTAGAAGGATAAAAATCCCTCCAAAAATCCATCAATCAAGAAAGGATTAAATAAGTAAAATGTAATAGAAACAATCAACATAGAATTTTCAATCATGAAATGAAATCAGAATATTTAACAGAATTTAGAATGCAGTTCAGTAGTAATAAAATCAAATCCATCACTTTTTTGGGGGAAAAATATAAGCGGTAATAAAGTTAATCTTTTTATGATTTAACTATATACAACAACTATATACAATATATATTACTGACTGCTTTTTGTGACATAATTTACTTCTTAGTAATTTTGTATTGATGATCATTATACAGCCAGTTTGTCACTGCCATCCTACTTCTGAAAATACTCAGGCGAGGGATTAATGAAAAAAAGAAAGTGCCCGAATCTTTCAAAATCTTGCTGGCCTTGGATTTACCATTCAAGGAAGAAAGATGATGTTGCTTATAAAGGTAAAAGTTCCCCTCACATGAATGTGCTAGTTGTTCCTGACTCTAGGGGGCGGTGCTCATCTCCGTTTCAAAGCCAAAGAGCCAGCGCTGTCTGAAAATGTCTCCGTGGCCATGTGGCCGGCATGACTAAATGCCAAAGGCACATGGAACACTGTTACCTTCCCACCAAAGGTGATCCCTATTTTTCTACTTGCATTTTTTCCGTGCTTTCGAACCGTTAGGTTGGCAGAAGCTGGTACAAGTAACGCGAGCTCACCCCATCACATGGTACTAGGGATTCAAACCGCTGAACTGCCGACCTTTCGATCGACAAGCTCAGCGTCTTAGCCATTGAGCCACCACATCCCTATATAGATATGTCTATAGTCACTTAACAAACATTCACAGTTATGAGACACCCCCAAAAGGGGGGTTTAAATTTCTGATGATTCCTCCCTCCCACACTCATGTGATCACATTTTGGGCACTTGGCACTTGCTGTGCTCTGTGGTCATATGACCATGATTTATTCCTTTTTGTTGAAAACTAATGTTTACATCCATTTTTCGGGGAGAAAAAATGATATCTCTTCCTGAACTACCTGTATTCATTGGAAGGTCTAAAAATATCACTGGCTGCCTATAGCAATCTCAATTTTTATATTTGCCTTTAGGATGTTTGAACAGTGATGGTACTCAAAATATTTACATTAACTATATCAGTTACCTTGTCATCAAACCAAAGCCAGCCTTCACTGCACCCTTTTGGATTTGCAGGTAATGTGGGCGCTGCAGTTGTACGGACAGAGCTATTGTGCCTCTCGCAGATGAAGCTTTTCTGAGCACCGCAGTTTATATCATTCCATACACCTGACCAAAGAAATTATATTGTCATCTGGAATATTAAATTATTCTTAAAATAAATAGCAACAGGTTAGTTATATTTATTTATTTTATTTTATTTATTTTATTGAATTTCTATACCGCCCTACTCCCGAAGGACTCAGGGCGGTGAACAGCCATAAAATAAAACACATACATATACAAAATTTAAAATCGAATAAAATGAATTAAAGAAATTTGGCTGAATTAATACCCATAATTTAAAATACCCATATTTTAAAATACATTAAAATTTAAAATTTGCACTTAAAAGGGAGAAGATTTAGGCGAGGCCAGCTTGATGAAATAACAGAGTCTTCAGCTCGCGGCGGAAGGTGCGCAGATCTGGAATCCCCCGTATCTCTGGGGGGAGCTCGTTCCAGATCGTCGGTGCCCTCACAGAGAAGGCTCTCCCCCTAGGGGCCGACAGCCGACATTGTTTGGCCGACGGCACCTGGAGGAGCCCCTCTCTGTGGGAGCGTACTGGTCAGTGGGAGGCTATTGATGGTAGTAGGCGGTCCCGTAAGTAACCAGGTCCTAAGCCATGGAGCGCTTTAAAGGTGGTAACCAGAACCTTGAAGCGCACCCGGAAGACCAACGGGAGCCAGTGCAGCTCGCGCAGGAGAGGTGTTACATAGGAGCTCCACGCCGCTCCCATAACCACCCGCGCGGCCGCACTCTCTGCCAGTTGGAGCCTCCAGGTGCACCTCAAGGGGAGCCCCATGTAGAGAGCGTTACAATAGTCCAGACGAGAGGTGACGAGGGCATGAGTGACTGTGCGTAATGAGTCCCGATCTAGAAAGAAACGCAACTGGCGAATCAGGCGAATCTGATGAAAAATCCTCCCAGTCACGGCCGTCAAGTGCTCTTCTAAAGACAGCCGTGAATCCAGGAGGACGCCCAAGTTACGAACCCTTTCCGTGGGGGCCAATGATTCGCCCCCAATAGCCAGTGATGGCGCCAGCTGACTATATTGGGACGTCGGAAACCACAGCCACTCGGTCTTGGGTGGGTTGAGCCTGAGCCCGTTTCTCCCCATCCAGATCCATACGGCCTCCAGGCACTGGGACATCACTTCAAGGGCATCGTTGGGGTGGTCCGGGATGGAGATGTACAGCTGGGTGTCATCAGCATACAGATGGTACTTCACCCCGAAATCACGGATGATCTCACCCAGCGGCTTTACATAAATGTTGAACAAAAGGGGCGAAAGAACCGATCCCTGCGGTACCCCACATATAAGGAGCCTCGGGGCCGATCTCTGCCCCCCTGTCAACACAGACTGCGACCGGTCAGAGAGAAAGGAGGAGAACCACCGTAAAACGGTGCCTCCCACCCCCAACCCTTCCAGCCGGTGCAGCATGATACCATGGTCGATGGTATCAAAAGCCGCTGAAAGATCTAACAGGACCAGGACAGAGGAACAACCCCTGTCCCGAGCACTCCAGAGATCATCAACCAACGCGACCAATGCCATTTCCGTGCTGTACCCAGGCCTGAAGCCCGACTGGAATGGATCCAGATACGTTGCAACCAAAATAATAATAGTGCAAAGTGCAATAGTACATACTGGAATCCTACATTACATGTGAAAGAATAGACCAGGGTTGTCAAATATGCAGCCCGTGTGCCGGATGCGTCCAGCGTTGGCCACGCCCATGTTCGATTTAGCAAAGGGAGGAAAAGTCCTGATATGTCCCGGGGTACCTACGAGACCACCTTCTGCCACCAGTAGCCTCTCACCAACTGGTACGCTCCCATAGAGAGGGTCTTCTCAGGGTGCCGTTGATCAAACAATGTCGACTGGCGGCCCCCAGGAGGAGAGCCTTCTCTACGGGGGTACCTGCCATCTGGAACGAGCTCCCCCTGGAGATATGGAGGATCCCGGATTTGCGCACCTTCTGCCGTGCCCTCAAAACAGTCTTATTCCAGCAGACTGGTCTGGCCTAACCTCCCTTTTAATTGCTTTTAAATTTGTTCTATAAATTGGGGTGTTTTAAATTTGGTTTGGGCTAAAGTATTTAATGTATTTTTAAATGGTTTTTTAATGTTTGTACTATGTGTATTTTGGCTGTTCACCGCCCTGAGTCCTTCGGGAGTAGAGCGGTATATAAATTTAATTAATAAATAAAATAATTAATAAATAAATGTCATGTGACAACGCCGCGACAACGAGAGATTGACACCCCTGGAATAGACGTAGTCCTCACTTACTGACCACTCATTCATATCCTGATCATGCACATAGAAAGAACAGCTGAAAACCTGAAGTTTATTTTACTTGCCTGAGTCATAATACATAACTACACAGTGTTCATCTTCATTTGCAAAGTTGGGTTCACCGGGGGCCCAGGCTTCATATGTCACTGGAGTTCCATCCATCCATCTGAAGAAAAATATTTGACAGTTATCTATGATGCTCTGAGCTCAAAACAACTGTTGGAAGATCAAGAATGGCTGTTTCAAGGCTAGAACACATTCCCACCAATATTGACAATGTAAAACAATAGTAACTGAAAGACTGTAACCAAATATTTCTAACTAACCACAGCATGCTAACAAATATTGAGAAATTAAAGATAGTCCTTGAGTTACAGTAGAAATTGGAACTAGGACTGCTGTCTCTAAGAATTGTGGCTGCAAAGTATGATGTCATGTGATTTCATTGCTTAGCAATGGCAATCCAGGCAGTCCCAATAGCGATTGTCACCCCAATTCAGACAAATTATTAAGTGGGAAGCACAGGCAGCAGTAGGATATTGCAGGGGGCTTGGGAAGGCCTAGGCCAGCTGCAGGCCATACCTGAGTTGAATATGAGTTCCAGAGAAAGTGGATGCAGGAGTGTGTGCAAGTACAGGAAGGATGGGGAAAGAGGACAGTGCATCTATATGTATGAGCACAGGGAGGCCACGAAAGCAGGGCTCAAGGTGCAATTGGATCTTGGACGTCTTCTAGTCCAATCCCCTGCTCAGGCAGGAAACCCTATACCACACTATACCCTATACATCTCTTCTTAAAAACTCCAGCATCCACAACTTTTAGAGGCAAATCATTCCACTGACTAAGTGTTCTAACTATGATAAATTATGTTCCAAAGTGAAAGCAAATAGAGCAAATATTACAAATAGAGATCCCTGTCGAACTCTTGCTTTCAACAAATGTTGGCAGGAACTTAACAAAATCTTCCTTATTCATATTTATTCCATTTTACTGTAAAAGTAATTTCAAAACAGAATTTCATTGCATGCTACAGAATTCATTAAGCATTTTTATATATCTTGTGCACCTGATGATGATGTTATTAATGATGATGATAATCAAGAAAATCAAATAAGAAAATGAGAATTTTGGATCTCTTTCTGAACATCAAAAAGACCAAGCTCATGACCACTGCAAGGAATGGAACTATCAAAATAGAAATTGATGGTGAAGAGATAGAATGCATGAAAAAAAAATCACTTTCCTAGGGTCACAGATCACTCAAAGCAGTGGATGCAGGCCAGAAATAAAATGTTGATTGAACTGAATCACACAGCAATGATGAACATGAGTCAAATATGCAAAAGCAGTCAGCCTGGCAATCAAATGTAAGTTAGTCAATTCTATTATGATCTCTGTAGCTACCTATGTTTGGACCTTAAAAAAGCAAGACAGGAAGAAAGTAGACTTTGAGCCCTTGTACTGGAGAAGGTACATAACACCAGACATCTCTGGAATGCAAAATCACAAACTTTGTCTCACTTATTTTGGCCATTTCATTCAGGGAAATTCACTAGAGGAACCAAGAGTATTTGGAAGAGTTAATGATTAGAGGAAACCAGGCTGCCAAAGGACACAGTGGCTGGACACCATCAAAGCTGATACCAGCCAGAGTATAGAACAACTGAAAGTAGTGCAAGATTGAAAGACATGGAGAGACCCAGCTCATAGAATTGCCAAAGTCTGACATGACTGAATGGAAATTGTCATCATCATTTATATATTTTGTTCACCTACCCAAACTTTTTGTCAAGACTCAAAATTAAACCAATATAGGAATCTTGATAAATTCCATAGTTGATAGCCTAAAATGTAAAAGAAGAAAAGGCAATAAAAATAGTTATTTTCTGCTTTAATAAAAAGTAATAACATAGCATATCAATGAATCTAATTCAGCTATTGTTTAGAGCATCAGAACCAATAATCCAATATAGTATAGAATCTTTCCTAGTACTTGTAGGTTTGTCAAACGCTATGTATAATTAAAAATATTATTTGCAAATCATGTTGAATAGAAGCTACTAAACACAAAATAAATGACAATTTTGAAATATGTTCCACTTTTTAACAATGTAGTACTTAAAAATTCATTTGTGTAAAAAGGTAACATCTAATTTATTATTTTCTTGAAATAATTGGTTTCCAATTAAGTTGACTGCACCAGTGGTGAAATCCAGCCGGCTCTATCCGGCTTGCACGATCCGGTAGGGCCGTGGGCGGGAGGCTCCACCCACCCGCCCGGACATCATCATGTCCCGTTTTTGATGTTCTGCACATGTGCAGAAGGCTCTTGTGAGCGAGCGCATGCATGTGCTCACATTTGTATTCCGGTAGCGAAGGTAAGTGCATTTTAATCCTGGACTGCACTAAACATCCAGTTTTCTTAATTTAATGGCCACCATAATACATATTTTATACAAAAGTTTAAAAGAAATTTTTCAGTTTCTGAAAAGTTCTGTCTTCTGTCATATCATACACACACTGTCAACTCTGAAGCTGGCCTTATTGAAGCCATTTTGAGGCTCCAGTGTTGCCACAATGGAGATGAAGGATAGGGAGGGGAGAATAGGGATAGCTGGGGTTTTGTAGTCAAAACAAAATAGTTTCTCCTGTGAGCCAAGGACATTCCCACAGGTGGCTGAAGAAAGGAGGAGTGATGTTACCAAGCAACTGGATTGCACCCTGATTGGAGCATCTGACTGATTGTTTCGGGAAAATGGAAAAAAAATTACTTTTAATTAGGGGGAAACCATGGGAACATTTAGAGTCAGTTTTCACCAGACTGTCCCAATATGATATATCCAATAAAACTATTCTTTGAGGAACCTACCCGCCTCAGAGTTCATACACACACACACACACACACACACACACACACACACACACACACACATGCATGCATGCATACACACACATACACACCCACACACATAAATTTTTTGAAGCCACGTATTTTCCATAGGTAATTATTGCATATATTTCTTACATATTTCCACAAAAACATTTTTTCCTTTTGACTCTCAATGGTAGTAAGATCACCATGATGTTGTTTGCAGAACTTCCGGGCTTTTTCTGCAGGCATTGTTGTATTACTGAAATAATACTCATTGTTTTCAAATTCAATCCAGCCATCTTCAATGTTTTTATAAGTATAATCTGCAAAAGAAGAAATAGAAGAAATGGCATATAATGCATATCTGAGCAGTCCTTTTGCATCTATTCCACAAAACCACAAAGCAAACAGTCACTTGAAGTTTCCATGCTGTACATTGGGTCAAAGCTCTTCCTTCCAAGGTCTTCTGAATATGAACCTGTATACCCACATCCATATTATACCTAGCAAACTGACTTCAATTGAGTTCTTCCAATAGCTGGAAGACGTTTCTATGCCAATATTCCAGAATACATAGAAGTCAACCCAGATTGCAATGTTGAGACTGCAAGACAAAGCAATATAAAACAACCAGGAGGCCATTTTAATTTGCTTTCAAAACTAACTGGAGAAAGAAGTGGGCTATTGTCTTATGCAATTGCTCAGAACACTTGATTCAATCAAATCACTATCAAATCCAATCAAATCAAATCTTAGTATATTTGGGAAAGTTTTATAAAAATTTCCGATTATTTTTTATAGATATAAAAAGTGCCCTACTTTTTAGTATCTCCTCTTTGGTTATAGCCATATGGGATTCAAATTTTTTAACAACCAGTTCTGTGGATGTGGCTTGGTGGGTGTGGCTTGGTGGTCATGTGACTGGGTGGTCATGGCTGAGTGATCATGTGACTGGCTAGGCAGTCATGTGACTGGGTGGGTGTGGCCAACCCAATGTCACTCACATTCAGGGGCACCTCACCTGACCTTTCCTTGCCCCTCCCCTCCCAGCCTGTCCTCGCCTTGCTTTGCATGTTATGGTGAGAGAGGAAGCTTTTTCAAAGTCATCTTCCCCTTTATACTAGCAAATAAGATGACCTGATGTACATTTCCAACTATTGTTTATCACTAGTCTCTTGGTAAGACTGAATGGAGAGATTTATAAAGAATAACAGAGTTGGAAGGGACCTTGGAGGTTTTCTAGTCCAACCCCTGCTCAAGCATGAGACCTTAAACTATTATGGACAAATTTCTCCTTAAAAACCTCCAGTAATGGTATACCCACAACTTCTGAAGGCATTCCAATCCCCAAACCAGCCAGCCTACCTAGCCCAAGCCTGACAGACTCCTAGTCAGTTTCCTGGAAACCAGGCACAAAGAGATGATTGCGCCCAGCCCCACATTGCCCAAAAAGGCTGGAAGGCAAGGCGTCCGGGTCCAACAAAGGGACCAGGGGTGCGACTTCCTCCCCTCCCTCTTTTCAGGAGATTTTCAACAAAGGACTGGGAACTTCAAGTGAGGCGTGCACTGCAGTCTCACCCACCTCCACCAGGCTCTGGGCTAGGCAACTCTGGGCTAGGCAGTGGATTGGTTTTCCCAGCTGACTGTGACCGTGACTTTACCTTCGTCCCACAGCTGCTGGCAGAGAGAGCCAGGTGTGAGCATCTCACCCCCTGCCCATATTCTCTGCAGCTGCTGGGTCTTGCCTGCCAGCAGGCATGAGGCAGGGGTGACCAGGGAGCACAAAGCTATGCCACCCACATTGCCCCTCTACCAGTCGCCCCTCCCTCCCTTACCCACCTGCCAGCCCAAGTGCTTCAGCCAAGTGCAGACCATCACTATGAAAATGGTGTGAGCCCATGGGCTGGAAGATAAGGCTGATGGCAGGGAAGGAAGATCCACTGCAGGCTTGCTGCGCTCAACCAAAGAGCTGCCTTAGTGGGAAGGTGACACGGCAAGGCTCAGCCCCCTTTTGGGCCCTGCTCTGGGCTGCTGCCTGCTCAACCTCTGACTGCCTCAGCCTGAGACAAAGGGACATTCTGCTTCCAGGCCAGTCCAGCCAGAAGATGGGCAAGCAGGAGGCCTCAAGGGAGGCATTTTCTCTCAGGCCTCCCACCTGCAGGCCCCAAGGAAACTGAACCTGGGCCTGAAAGGTGGCTGAGCCTCATCGTGTCCACCACCCTGAGGCAGCCCTTTGGCTAAGTGCAACAAGTCCAGAGTGGATCTTCCTTCCCTGCTGTCAGCCTTACCTTCCAGCCCAGGGGGCTCACACAATTAACCATTCTCACAGTGGCGGCCGAAGAGGTCGGCTTGGCAGGCAGGTGAGGGAGGGAAAGGTGGCTGGCAGAGGAGAGATTGGGCTACATAGCTCACCTACCGCTGGCAGGTGAGACCCAGCAGCTGCGGAGAATCACCTGTTTCCCAGGGGACTGGTCAGGACTTTGTCGTACTTGGGCTAGGCAGGCTAGCTGGTTCGCGAGGTGGTGGTGGCCGCCGGAGCAGTGCTGGGATCACCACTCAGGATGAAGCCAGGCCTGGATATAGCCGGCTGCAGGGTGATGGGGGTAGGCAACCGCTGCCCAGGCAGGAGGTGGGCACAGGATGGGGGTAGATCGTGGCTGGAGGCCAGGCAGGCGCAAGTTGGCCACCCTTCTCAGCCCCACTCCCCCAGGGGGCACCCTGCTGTGCTTACCTGTTCTGCTGATGGAGTGGTCGAGAGCAGGCCCAGACGAGCAGGAAGCTGCCACATCGTAGGCCGTGGCAAGGCAGACAAGCAGGCTGGGCTGTGTAGCCATGTAGTTGAGGCAAGGGAGCCAAAAAGCAGCTGCATCTATGCCACAGTGTGACTCTAAGGTACCAGCCAATGCATGCAAGACCAATAAGTAGTGGCGGGGCGGGGCCTGCCAGCAATTTAATAACTGGTTCGACCACTGCATATTTCTACATATGCTTGGGAAGCCCCTACTTAATTATTGCCTGTGAAGAGGCCTGTCAATGACATCTACCTTTCATTTAAAGGGAATCACAATTTCTGTAATTTTAAAGCCATCCAGTGCCAACATCTGGTTTTCTTTGGTGCTCTTAGAAATTGATTTGCTTACAAATTCAACCATCACATATCACATTTTAGGAATGCTTCTTTATGTCATATAGCCAGATTTTGCTCAAAGCAGCCCAATTCAAATCAAACTAAATAAAATGTACAGCCATATCAATAGGTATATTATAATATTTTTGACATTAAATTGCCCAACGTACCAAATTTGTTGCTTGGTTCTGGATTTAAAGGTGAACCTGCAAAAACAAGTATTTTCATTATTAAAAAATTCAAGCAGTGAATCATATTATATTACATTATTCCATATTGCAGAAGGCAATTCTCAAAAAGTGAAATGTACCATATTAATATATTTCTACCTCACATACAAACAACCATAGATATCTGGATCCTAATTTCCTTAAGAGCTAGGTGACATCCACTTTTAAAAGAACCATGACGACCTGTATAAATACCATTGTTGCACTCATTTCATATGCTAACATGGTCATGATCAAAATCCTACAAACCGAGGTTTCAGCAATTTGTGAACTGAGAACTACCAGAAGTACAATCTGGATTTTGAAGAGGCAGAGGAACTAGAAATCAAATTGCCCCCAACTTGTGGGATTATGGAGAAAGCAAGGGAGTTCCAGAAAAACATTGATTTTTGCTTCATTGACTATGCTAAAGCATTTAATTATGTAGATCACAACAAACTGTGGCAAGTTCTTAAAGAGATGAAAGCAGACCACCATATCTATCTCTTGAGAAACATGTATGCAGGTCAAGAAGCATTAGAATCAGACAAGGAATAACTGATTGGTTTAAAATAGGAAAGGGAAGATGACAAGACTGTATATTGTCACCCTGATTATTTAATTTAAATGCAGAGTATATCATGTAAATTGCCAGACTGAATGAATCATAAGCCAAAATTAAGATTTCTGAGAGAAATATTAACTTCAGGTATGCAGACAATACCACTCTAATGGCAGAAAATGAAGAGGAACTAAAAAAAAAACTCTTGATGGGGGTGAAAGAGGAGAATGCAAAATTTGAATTGAAATGCAAAATTTTAAAAACTAAGATCATGGCATCCAGTCCCATTACTTCCTGGCAAATAGAGGGGAAGCTATGGAAGCAGTGACAGATTTAATTTTGAGGGGCTTCAAGAGCATTGCAGACAGTGTCTGTAGTCATGAAATTAAAAGATGCTTGTTCTTTGGGAGAAAAGCTATAGTAAACAAAGACAGCAAATTAAATAGCAGAGACATTACCTTGCTGACAAAAGTCCATAAAATCAATGCTATGGTTTCCCAATTAGTAAAGTATGGCTGTGAAAGTTGGGCAATACAGAAAGCTGAGTGCCGAAAAATTGATCCTTTTGAATTGTGGTGCTGGAAAAGACTCTCAACATTTCCTTTGATTGTAAGGAGATCAAATTAGTCAATCCTAAAGGAAATCAACCCTGACTATTTTTTGAAAGGACAGAAATTGAAGCTGAAGCTCAAATATTTTGGCTACCAAATGAGAAGAGAGGACTCCCTGGAAAAGACCCTGAAAGACTGAAAAAGATTGAAGGCAAAAGGAAGACAATAAAGGATGACAGTTAGCTAGTGTCAATGAATTTGAGCAAACTCCAGAAGACCGTGGAAGACAGAAGGGTCTGTGATGTTATACTCCATGGAGTCATGAACAGTCAGACACAATTTAGAGAATGAACAATGAGAAAAGACAAATTAGGAATAAAAATCAAAATAGTCAAGAAAATGGTAAAACAACACCCACCCAAATCACCAGGATCAGATGGATTACATCTACAATTGTGAAGGCTCTGACAGATATTATCTCAAATTCACTGAACAATATCTTTCAAAGTTTCTGGAGCATCAGGAACTACAAGAGAACTGGAAAAGAACTGATGTAATTCCCATCTTCAAAAAAGGAAAAACAATAGTTCCAGGAAATTGCAGACCTATTAGCCAGCAATCAGTACCTGGGAAGATCCTGAAAATGTTAATCAAGCATAAGATCTGCGAACATCTAGGAACAAGGAAAGCAGTTACTGGATGCCAACATGTATTGGTTAAAAATAAATCATGCCAAACAAACCTTTACTGCATTCTTTGATAAAGTGATTCAATTAGTGGGACAAGTGAAATTCTGTGGATAGAGCATAGTTGGACTTCGGTGAAGTATTTGACAAAGTAGACCACAGACCATTTCTTGGTAAGATAGAAAAATGTGGGATAGACAGCATGACCCGTGGTAGCACAGTGGTTAGAATGCAGTCCTGCAGGCTATTTCTGTTGACTGCTGGCTGACTGCAATTTGCAGTTCAAATCTCACCAGGCTCAAGATTGATTCAGCCTGCCATTCTTCCGAGGTTGATAAAATGAAGACCTCAATTGTTGGGAGCAATATGCTGACTCTGAATACTGCTTAGAGAGGGCTGTAAAGCACTAGGAAGTGGTATATAAGTATATTGCTATCACGACCAAGAGGAATTCATAATCTTACCCCAAGGTTTTGTCTCAGGCCCAGTATTCTTTAACATTTTCATAAGTGATTAAGATGAGGGGATATCTAAAGTGATTTAGGGGATAGAAAGGAAACTTGTCAAAATTGCTGATGACACCTAGCTGGGGGGAATAGCCAACATTCCAGAAGATAGGATCCAATCTGTGTTGGTTAGCAGGACTAGAAATTTACTCTTCCGAGCTTTCAGACTCGTATTGTAGCCCATCCTCAGGAAACTTCACTCTAGCAGAAGATAGGCTCAAGATCCAAAAGGATTTCAACAGACTTAAATAATGGGCCCTAACTAACAAAATGAAATTCAGTGGTGAAAAAAAGTATGGTTTTGCACTTAGGCAAGAAAGATCAAATGCACAGGTATAGAATAGGTGAAAAGGATGTAGAAATCCTAGTGGAGAATCACTTAAATATGAGTCAGCAGCAGTGGTGGGTTTTATTTATTTTTATTTATTTATTTTATTAAATTTGTATACCGCCCTTCTCCTGCTGGACTCAGGGCGGTGCACAGCCAAAATAAAAAACATCCCAATACAAAATTTAAAATTGGTTAAAAGAATTACACAACTTTGGCCCAAAATTTAAAACATCCCGACTAAAACCCATAGACAATTAAAAATCTAACATCTTAAAAAAAAGGGGGGGTTACGCCAGTCCTGCTTAGTGGAAAAGAAAGGTTTTTAGGGCACAGCAAAAAGCCCGCAGATCTGGTATCATGCGTATCTCCAGGGGCAAATCGTTCCAGAGGGCAGGTGCTGCCACAGAGAAGGCCCTCCCCCTGGGGGTCGCCAGCCGACACTGCCTGGCTGACAGCACCCTGAGGAGTCTCTCTCTGTGGGAGCGTACTGGCCGGTGGGAGGCTATAGGCGGCAGAAGGCGGTCCCGCAAATACCCAAGTCCCATGCCATGGAGCGCTTTAAAGGTGGTAACCAACACCTTGAAGCGCACCCAGAAGACTACTGGAAGCCAATGCAGCTCACGCAGGAGAGGCGTCACATGGGACCACCCCCTCGCTCCCATAATCCCCTGTGCGGCCACATTCTGCACCAGTTGGAGCCTCCGGGTGCTCCTCAAGGGGAGCTCCATGTAGAGAGCATTGCAGTAGTCCAGGCGGGAAGTGACAAGTGCCTGAGTGACTATGCGTAAGGAGTCCCAATGCAGAAAGGGACGCAACTGCGAATCAGGCATACCTGATGAAAAGCCCCCCTGGCCATGGCCGTCACATGCTCTTCTAAAGACAGCCGTGCATCCAGGAGGACGCCCAAGTTGCGAGCCCTCTCTGTGGGGGCCAGTAACTCGCCCCCAATAGCCAGCGATGGCACCAGCTAGCTATATCAGGACGCCGGAAGCCACAGCCACTCGGTCTTGGAAGAGTTGAGTTGAAGCCTGTTACTCCCCATCCAGATCCGCATGGCCTCCAGGCACCGGGACATTACTTCAAGGGCTTCGTTGGGATGGCCTGGGGTGGCCATTTTTTTACTACTGGTTCTGTGGGCATGACTTGGTGGGTGTGGCTTGGCTTGGTGGGCGTGGCTTGGTGGGCGTGGCAGGGGAAGGATACTGTAAAATCTCCATTCCCACCCCAATCCAGGGGAAGGTTACTGCAAAATCCCCATTTCCTCCTGATTAGCTGTGACTTGAGAGGCAGAGAATAGATGGGGACAGAGCCAGTCAGAATTTTTACTACCGGTTCTCTGAACTACTAAAAATTTCCCCTACCGGTTCTCCAGAACTGGTCAGAACCTGCTGAAACCCACCTCTGGTCAGCAATAATTTCCTGTCAGTGAAAACAATTCATCAGTGGAAAGCCTTGTCTCCAGCTGCTATAGGTGTCCCATCACTGGAGATTTTTAAGATTTTTAAGAAAAGATTGGACAGTCATTTGTCTGGAATATAGGGTCTCCTGATTAAGCAGGGGTTGTATTAGAAACCTCCAAGTTCCCTTCTAACTCTGTTATTCTGTAATTCTCTAAAATCCTTCATCAAACAAAAGAGAGATCATCATGTGCCTTGGTAAGACCACACTTGCTTGGAATATTGCATCCAGTTTTGATCACCACAATATAAACAAGATGTTAAGACTCTAGAAAAAGTGCAGAGAAGAGCAACAAAGATTATGGAGCTGTAGACATAACATGAAGAACGGTTGCAGGAATTAGGTATATCTAGTCTAGTGAAAAGAAGGATGACATGATAAGCAGAGTTCAAATATTTGAGGGGCTGCCACAAAGAAGAGGGGGTCAGCCTATTCTACAAAGCACCTGAAGGCAAGACAAGAAGAAATTAATGGAAACTAACCAAGGAGAGAATCAATCTAGAACTAAGGAGAAATTTCCTGACAGTGAGAACAATGAACCAATGGAATGGCTTGCCTTCAGAAATTGTACAAACTCCATCACTGGAGGTTTTTAAGAAGAGATTGGACAGCCATTTGTCTGAAATAATTCAGGGTCATCTATTTGAACAGGGAGTTTGAACAGGAGACCTCCAAGATCTCTTCCAACTCTGTTATTCTGAATAAACTACAGAGTTACAGAGTTATAGAGCCCTGGTAGTGCAGCAGACTAAAGCACTGTTATTAACATCAGCTGCCTGCAATTACTGCAAGTTCAAATCTCACTAGGCTCAAGGTTGACTCAGCCTTCCATCCTTTCTAAGGTAGGTAAAATGAGGACCCAGATTGTGGGGGCAATAAGATGACTTTGTATAAAATATACAAAAGTATGAAGGCTATTGCTTAACGCATTGTAAGCCGCCCCGAGTCTCCGGAGAAGGGCGGCATATAAATAAATAATAAAAAAAACTACTTGAGAATAAAAAGCATATTACCTCTTGTAATTTGACAAAACCAATCAAAAAACTGATAACATACTGCTGCTCTCCAAGCTCCAATATATCTCCATAGTGCTCTGCATTTATTATTTTCATTGGAAGACAAAGTAAAAGTTGGTTCATAGTTTACCTAAAGTAAAAATTAAAATATACTTACTGTCTTTAAAAGGCATCAGTTTTAACATTTGGAAAATAAAACAAATGGTACACTCATTACTCCCCAAGATGCTGCATTCTGGATCAAGTCTAGCTTCTGTGTGGTCTTTAAAGGAAGCCCCATGTACAGCACACTTCCGTAATCCAAATGAGAGATCAGGATGTGTGTGACTGTGAATACTGAATAGTGTCTCCCATTCTAAGAAAGCTGTAAATGACACACTAGGCGGAGTTGTGCAAAAGTCCCTCCTTCTTATAATTGCCTCATGTATCTGAAATAATATCCATGAGCCAAGAAGGACAACAGTACAAAACAAGGGAGTATGATTCCATCCATAACTAGATAGTATAGTCCTGCACTCAGCTGGTTTCTTAACTTCAAACTGCTCCATCGTGCTGGGATTAAGATCCCTAAAATCTTATTTAAGTCTTCTCAGTTAAATTTTTTATATTCATCTTTTTACCATTTTGTAAGTCACTCAGAGTAGTTTTTAAGATGAGTGGCATATACATTTAATAAATAAATAAATAGAATGTTCATCCCCTCCCAGAACATAATAACCTCCAGATTTCTGGAAAATGTGCTATTCCCGGGATGGCGAACCTATGGCACGGGTGCCACAGGTGGCACACGGAGCCATATCAGAGGGCACGCGAGCATTGCTGTAGCTCAGCTCCAGCATGCATGTGTGTGCCGGCCAGCTGATTTTTGAGCCTTTTGGTGCCACTGGAAGTTGGGAAATGGGCTGTTTCCGGCCTCCAGAGGGCCTCCGGGGGGTGGGGAAGGCCGTTTTCGCCCTCTCCAGGCTCCTAGAAAGCCTCTGGAGCCTGGAGAGGATGAAAAACCGGGCCCACCAGGCCATCACATGCTAAAAGCGGGGGGGGCGCACACATGCGCAGGGGCGAGGCGCATTGTATTATGGGTGTAGGCACACACGTGGGCAACCTCCCCGTGCTCCCCCCGCTTTTGGCACGTGATGGCAAAAAGGTTAGCCATCACTGTGCTATTCAATCAGAGGCTGGGATGTAAAGTTCTGTATAACTTACTCGTGATATTTAACCCTGTGTTGGTGGATCACATTCTCCACCAGTTGTAGGCAGATGCTAAATAAAAGTAGGAAAGGTATAAGAACCTAATCCAGGGTTTAGAGTTTGAATTCTCTCTCTCTCTCTCTCTTTCTCTCTCCCTCTCCCTCTCCCTCTCCCTCTCCCTCCCTTTCTCTCTCTCACACACACATACCAATTGGAATAACTCCCTCAGAAAAAAGGATCATGGCAATAGAGTATTCCTCATTCTGAATCCTCCGAGATGATGCAGAAGGATACCTTAGTTGATGGCAATTAAAGGCCACTGAGAAGTCAAGTAATATCAACAAGACTGCAATTCCCCATCATGGCCTTGCCAAAATCATGCATAAGTATATCTAATGTGTCTCAGTTCCACTTCCAGACCTAAAACTGCACTGAAATTGTTCCATGTAATTAATTTCTTCCAAAGTTCCTTACATTGTAACAAAGAACTAAATAAGGAAAGTTGGAGATAGGTCAGTAATTGTCTAATTATCTGGGAGGAGTTTGATGCTGTGACTCCCGATGATGTGGACAGGATTTTGGGGAGACTTAGTGCAGCCACATGTTTACTGGACCCATGCCTCCTGGTTGGTACTGGCTTCCCGGGAGGTTACACGAGGCTGGCTCCAGGGCGTCATTAATGCTTTGTTGAGTGAGGGTCAGTTCCCCGCTGCCCTGAAAGAGGCGGTGGTGAGGCCTCTCCTCAAGAAGCTGTCCCTGGATCCGGCAATATTGGCTAACTATCGTCCTACCGTTCGCTTCATTGCGAAGGTTGTTGAGAGTGTGGTCGCGCAACAGTTTCCGCAATTCCTGGAGGAAACATCCTATCTAGATCCGTTCCAGTCGGGTTTCAGGTCTGGGCACAGCACGGAAACGGCATTGGTCGCGTTGGTGGATGATCTCTGGAGGGCTCGGGACAGGGGTTGTTCCTCTGTTCTGGCCCTATTAGATCTCTCAGCGGCTTTTGATACCATTGACCATGGTATCATGCTGCACCGGCTGGAAGAGTTGGGAGTGGGAGGCACTGTGTTGCGGTGGTTCTCCTCCTTTCTCTCCAACCGGTCGCAGTTTGTGTTGGCAGGGGGGCAGAGGTCGACCTCGAGGCCTCTCATTTGTGGAGTGCCGCAGGGATTGGTCCTCTCGCCCCTTCTGTTCAACATTTATGTGAAGCCGCTGGGTGAGGTCATCCGTGGCTTTGGGGTGAGATACCATCAGTACGCTGATGACACCCAGCTGTACATCTCCACCCCAGGCCACCCCAACGATGCCCTTGAAGTGATGTCCCAGTGCCTGGAAGCTGTGCGGATCTAGATGGGGAGGAACAGGCTCAAGCTCAACCCTTCCAAGACTGAGTGGCTGTGGCTCCCGGCATCCTGATATAGTCAGTTGACTCCATCACTGACTATTGGGGGCGAGTCTTTGGCCCCCACTGAAAGGGCTCGCAATCTGGGAGTCCTCCTGGATAGGCAGCTGTCTTTGGAGGAACATCTGACGGCTGTTACCAGGGGGACCTTTTATCAGGTTTGCCTGATTCGCCAGTTGCGGCCCTTTCTCGATCGGGATTCCTTGTGCACAGTCACTCACGCCCTCGTCACCTCTCGCCTTGACTACTGCAATGCTCTCTACATGGGGCTCCCCTTGAAGAGCACCCGGAGGCTCCAGCTGGTCCAGAATGCAGCAGCGCGGGTAGTGATGGGAACAACATGGCGCTCCCATGTAACATCGCTCCTGCGCGAGCTGCACTGGCTCCCGGTGGTCTTCCGGGTGCGCTTCAAGGTGTTGGTTATCACCTTTAAAGCGCTCCATGGCATAGGGCCTAGCTATCTGCGAGACCTCCTGCTGCTACCGACGACCTCCCATCGACCCGTGCGCTCCCACAGAGAGGGCCTCCTCAGGGAGCCATCAGCCAAACAATGTAGGCTGGTGGCCCCCAGGGGGAGGGCCTTCTCTGTGGGGGCTCCCACCCTCTGGAATCAGTTGCCCCCGGAGATAAGGAGAGTCCATGACCTCAGTGCCTTCCGTCGTTCCCTGAAAACCCATCTTTTCCAGCAAGCCGGGTTGGCTTAAGAAGAAATTTTTAAATTCTTTTAATCAGTCTGTCATTTTTTAACTTTCGGGCCAAAATTTATATATATATTTAAATGTTTTAATATTTGTATTCTATGTTTTTTATCTTGGCTGTACACCGCCCTGAGTCCACAGGGAGAAGGGTGGTATATAAATTGGAAATTGAATTAAATTAAATTAAATTAATATTTTTGGATCAAACTATTCTTCTCTTCCTCAAAGCATATGGGTGATGGACCAAAACATTGGTCCATCATCCAAGAATGCATTCATCACCTCCCCTACACACACACACACACACACACACACACACACACATCGAATCTTTGCCAACTCTGTCACCTCTCTTTTATCCTGCATGCTGATACAGTTTTTCTCCTAGGAATGAAGGTAAATCAATACTTAGAAATGTTGCTTGCTCAGTTCACTCCTTCCCTAATGTGGATCCATTATCCTTGTATTATTCCTCTTTTCTGGGCCACCACAACAATGAGCTCTTTGTTTTCTCTAGATCTGTTTTGCTTCTCAATTACTTTGGAGGTTTTCAGCCTTTTCTCCAGGGACTCAGATATCATGATACTTAGTCAGCCACTATGCCCTCTGCTTTTGCTACTCTTCAAATGTAATGCAAGACCATCTGCTTCATTTGGCACCACTTCATCTGGCACCACCAGTATCAAGTGGTTCAAATGGTGGACAATAACAGTAACAGCAGTAGTCACAAATGTAACACACAAATGCCTATGAATCTATGTATTCTATTTTATCATCTCCCACTTGCCCCTTTATGACCATTAAGAATACATCCCATTTTTGACCTTCAGCTCAAAGTTGTGGGTGCTAGTCCATAACCAAACGTGGTGCTTAAGGAAAGACCACTCAATTATTCTTAATTAGCTGGAGGTTCTGTCATTCCAGCAAAAATGGATAAAGGAAAAATTAGTAGTATGTGGAATAAAATATTTCAGGTAGTTCGTCAGTTTCTGTATGAACAATGCAATCAAAACTTTTTTCAATAGCAGTCTGAGGTAACTCAGAGAAACTGTCAGAATAATCTGAATTAGGTCAAATATCAACAGCATATTATATTAACATTTTTACTACTTGTTTTAATAAACACTTGGTTTTACATTTAGAATACTGTTACTGTTAAATCACTACAAGAAATATTATTAATACCTGTGTTCTACCAGTCTCCAATCTTTCTGGTTCTGTGGAAAAGTAGTAGAGGTGACAGAGTTGGTGGTGATGGCCGGGGGGGGGGGGGGGGGGGAGGCACATGGTTCAGTACAAATGGAGTTTCATGCACTCATCTGCTCACCTGCCACTTGTGTGGCCTGGGGAGGGGCTGAGCATCCCTGTTGTACTCCATAAATATTAAGAATACCAGAAATTTGCATTATAACAATTGCATTATAAAGCATGCATGTTTATCATTTACTTACAGGAGATCCATCAGTCCAAGTGTATCCTGTGCTAGAGTCTGAAATTCGCAAACCAATCCAGGCACTTTCTGATTGAGATCTAAAAAGTAACAATCAGCAAATATGTTAAAATATATTTTATGCATGTGTCTTGTTGAAATACAACACTGCATTTTCTGTCTGTGTTTTCTTTTTCACATAGAACATAAGCATGTCAGCAAGTGAATAACCCCCAGAAGTAAGTAGGCTCTTAAATATGACATACGCTCTTACAGCTGTAATATGATAGATACCTACTTAAGTGGGAATAAGTTGTTAGGACTACAATGGAATTTATTTAAGTAGTCATGTGCAGGATAATACCAGAAGCCTTGTTACTTTATTGAGATGATGATGATGATTATGACTGACCATTCTTTCTTATTTCTGTTATACCCACTGGAGTTTCTATTTTTTTTAACGATGATGATGATTAGCAAAATCATGACCTTTTTCTTCCTCACTGAATTGGAACTCTAACTAGAGTGCCCTGAGAGAAATCTTAACTACATGCAAAATACTTTGGAATGAACCTATGTAGATTTATGAAATTTTCACTAGTTATATATTCCATGATGATGAATTCAGTGCTCCAATAAACCCTTTGCCATGAGTGTTTCTGCCTTAAGGGTTAAGAAATAAGCAGTTTATTATACTCACAGTTGGTTTAATAAGTGTTCCTCTAGCTTATTATGAAAAGAAGCCAGGTCTCCTCCAATTTGTTTACAAAAGTCATATGCCTCATACCAAGTTTTCCTTTCAACTTTCTTCCCTATATAAGCCTAAATGCATAGAAATATATCTCATTATAAATGAGCTTTAACACTATATATATATATATATAATCTTTGATTTACAACCACAATTGAACTCAAAATTTCTGTTGCTAAATCAGACATTTGTTAAGTGAATTTTGCCTCATTTTACAATCTTTCTTCCCACAGTTGTTAAGTGAATCACTGCAGTTGTTAAGTTAGAAACATGATTGTTAAGTGAAAATAATAAACAAAGCACTGTTGTCATTCCATACATTGCAGGAATATCAGGAAAGCTCAGGTGGATCTTCAACCAATACAACATATATGCATGCTTCAAACCTAAGAATACACTAAGGCAGAAGCTTATTCACCCCAAGGATAAAACACTCAGACATAAACTTAGCAACGTGGTAAAAGCAGTACAATGCAGTGAGCCATGTGCAGATCTGTACATTGAGGAAACAAAACAACCACTTCATAAACGCATGGCACAACATAGGAGAGCCAACCCATCAGGATAAAATGCAGTAGTCCATTTGCTTTAAAAGACAAAGACCACTCTTTTGAAGACAGCGAAGTCCACATTTTGGACAGAAAGACCTCTGGTTTGAAACAGGGGTAAAAGAGGCTATCTATATCAAAATTGCATAGCCCTCTCTCAACAGAGGGAGAGGGATACGACATTATCTATCACCAGTCTCCAATACAATCCTTTTCCTGGACCAACAATCTCTGCTCACTGTCATTCATGCCCTAGGCACAAACCCCCATCTTGACTATTGAAACATGCTCTTTATGGAGCTGCCCTTGAAAACTATCTAGAAGCTTCAATTGGTTCAAAATGCAGCAGCCTGCATGCTTTTGTGCAGGCCCAGTTATGCACATCTGCCATTGTCTGCCAATTTGCTTCCAGGTCCAATTCAAGGTGCTGGTTCTCATCTTTAAAGCCCTACATGGCTTGGGGCAGGTTATTTGAAGGACTATCTTCTCCCAGTCATCTCTATCTGATAAGGAATGCTGCAGGTCCCCTTTCCTAAAGAAGTATATCTAGTGGGATCAAAAAGAAGGGACCTCTCCATGGTAGCTCCCTCCCTGTGGAACATCATCCCCACAGAAATAAAACTGGGCTAACTTTGACACTCAGTTACAAGGCCCTGAATACTTAGTTTTACCAACAGACCTGGGTAACCCAAGTTGGGATATAGCCCATCAAATGGCTTATTTGACTGATTGTTGATGCCTGGGGATAGGGGTTATTGCTTTTTATCATATTTATAAGATATTTTTGTCTTTGTAAACTGCCCAAAATAACTGAGAGTAAATTTTCTGAAATAAATAAAGGTGAGGTGAATGAGGTAAACTGAGCTGAGAAAGAGTGACTGGCCCAAAGTTAGCCAGCTGGCATTCATGCCTAAGAGAGGCTCAGAGCTCACAGCCTCCTGGTTTCTTCATATATATGCATAAAATATGATGCTTCTTAGCCAACACTGAGCAATTCTGTTGCCAATAGTCACTTCATCATCAAGTCTAGGGACTAGCATGGAGTGCTATAGAAACCCCACAAAATTAATTGATCCGAATTGATTTTTCATCATTTATCAATCACCTACTAACACACACATCCCAGACATTTAGTGATTTCTTTATGACTACCAGACATTTATCAATCCCTTGGGTAATCCATCAACATTCAGGGGTACATATTGACCACTTTAGGGAATGCTGCCCTAAATCAATTTAGGATTATAAAAGCTATATATCCAAAGACAGAGCATCAGGCCAACTGACTACCTAATCAGGCTATTATCTTAAGATCACTCTTTAACAGTATTGCGTCAAAGAAGCTCTTCCTTTATTCAATTAAAATTCAAGGTAATAATATAAATTCCTATTGCTCACCTATAAACTAGTCTAAAAGACAGTTAGGCAGCCAGTTTGGTGTAGTGATTAAGGCATCATGCTAGAAGCTGAGAAACAGTGAGTTTTAATCTCGCCTTAGACATAAAGCCATCTGAAGGACTTTGAGCTTGTCGCTGCCTCTCCGTCCCAGGAAGGTGGCAATGGCAAAAAAAAAAAAAAAACTTTATCAAAAAGCTTCAAAAAACCTTTGCCAAAATAACTGAAGGAATCTATCCATTCTTCAATTGAATGGAAGAAATAAACTGTTATGACAAATCCACACAAATGAAGTTGTGAAGAGTTAAAATATATGAAGCATTGATAGCAACAAAAATGCCAAGTTCTAGCCTCACTGTCTTAGGCTAATAATAGTTATTACCTTGATTGGATTGCTTAGACCAGGATTTCTTGGGACATAGTAAGACCCAAAGTGTCTCAAAGCAATTAATGGGGATTTCAGAGAGAGGGCCAAAGATATACTGGTTGCAAAGGAACCTGACCAGTTGCCATGTTCTCTATGATTCCTTCCTTGTTCTTCCAATCACTCTATTTCCTTTTCAGAGGAGGGTTAATCATAGCTAAAGGACACCAAATTTTCCCTGGAAGGGACGGAAGGAGAGGCTGAGATGCCTGCTCCTGTTGCAGTGTCTACCTCTTGATCTGGCCTGTCTCAAAGGGTTGAATCTGGTTGAGCAAACCAGATTCTAAAACGGGATGACCCACCTTGAAGCAGACATTCCTCGTTGGACTTGCAGACCATCCTTCAGGACATGGGGGAGGGGGTGATGTTCTCAGGATTGGAGGAGGCGTCACCCCTTCAGCCAAATGCTTGCAAAGGAAGGGGACCCTCTCCTCACAATTGACAACATCCCACAGTCCAGCAGCATCTCCCGTTCTCATGGCAACACAACCAGGATCTGGGCCTGGCAGAATGGAAGACCAGAGTTAGATAAATTTAATGCATCTCCATAGTCAAGCTGAACAGGATAAAAGCTTTCCTGCCAGAGTGTATTTGCTCTGACAGAGTCCATACCAGGCATTTTTGCATTCCAGTGAGTGAACTGAATGGGGTCTCCATTGGTCCAGTTGAAAGTCCCTGGATTCTCTACATCCGAAAGGCCAATCCAGAAATATTTTTCAGGACGGTGTCCAATTTGGCTAGTCAGGAAGGCCTGCTCAAATCTGTGGTAAAAATAATTCAAATCAGGATGGTCTCTGATTTTCTCCATTTTCAAATTCAGCAGAGGGTTAATCTTAGGTCAATTTATACTTTTACTAGTCAATCCACCTCAAAGGATTGTTGTAGGGAAACTAGGAGGCAGGAGGATTCGGTACATTTCTATATATTAAAAAGGTGGGATAAAATTATCACTATCATCATCATCCTCTCAGATCTGAAAGTACAGATTTACAGATTCCTGATTAGAGCTAAGGAGTCTGCTCCCATAACATACATTAAGGCTAGCAGGACTGGAGTTGAATGTTTCTTACAGCAAAGACTACAGGGCAGAATTTTCCTGAAGATTTAGGATAAGGACAGGCCTTCATCTTACTGAGGTCACTTAGTAAATGGTGCCTGAGGCAACCAGTCCCAACCATGGCTAATGATAGGACTTGCCCAATCCTACTACAAATAAAAAGCCACATGCAGTAGCTCTCTTGACCTAGCTGTCTGACCAAGACCGCAGTTGCATCATAACATTCTCTACAGCAGTATTTCCCAATTTTGGCAGTTTTAAGATTGTGAACTTCAAGTCCCAGAATTTCCCGGATGTCTGAGGAATTCATATCCTAAGGTTGCTGAGTTTGCGAAATACTATTCTACATCAATGGTCTTCATATATTTTTTATCACACTTCCTTATTAATAGAAAAATTAAATGTAAATATTTATTTTGAGATATTCATTAATCACAACAGCAATTAGTAAATTAGTAAACTCATATAAAATTCAAGTAAACCAAGCGTTAGATACTATGTCAAATAAACTCATGTAAAATTAGAGTGCAAAATTAGTCATAATTAAGAAAAATGAATAATTAACAAACATCAGAATAAAATAATACTTTTGCGAGTAGGTGGCTCTATAATTTTTTCTAAATAAATAAATAAATAATTTAGAATACAGGAATAAAATATCTAAAAATGTTTTATTTATGCCCAGATAAAATACTCTTTTCATGTGTGTCAGTAGGTCTCACAGCAGAGTTTATTTTAAAGGAAATGAATTTAAAAAGTAGGTAGACATAGAAAATCTATTTAGTGTTTTCTTTGCTAATATAGATGGATAATATAATATTTTGTTCTGTCTCTTTCACCATATTTTACCTATTCTCCACAGAGATCAGAAATCCTTGGTTTGTTTCACACAATTTCTTTGCTTCTGAAAATGTTCCAGGTGTCTTTCCAATTAAGTAACAATAGAAACCATACCTTTTCCAGCCCTGTGGACATAGCATAAATACACATACAGAACAATATTAGCCTGAATTTATTGATTTATATCTCACATTTTTATTCTGGCCCAATCCATAGACTCTCAGATTCGTTGAGTTATCCTGATGAAAGGGAAATTTTTAATTATTTTAAATTCATATTTTATGTGGTAGTGAGTGATAGTCTCATTATTCTATTGTATCTTTTGAACCCAAAATCTAAAAGATACTGTGAAATAAATAATGGTAGACATAAATTCACAGCATTCAACTTCTGTGTCAATAGCTTCACATTTGTTTAATTTTGTAAGAACATTGCTGCAATTTGGATGTCCAATTACTATGGCCAGTACAAATCAATGTTTTTCAATTTCAGATTTAGCCCAATCCAACATTTCTATTAAGGAAAAAGAAATCAAAATGTATTCCTTCTGTTTATCCATTACCTCAGGTAGTTTTTCTTTTTCGCCATATGGTAAAGACAAATAATTTGTATTATTATAAAATTGCAGAGAAAATCTTTCTGTCTATAGCAGCGGTTACCAACTGGTGGTCCATGGACTACTGGTGGTCCGTGAGAAAATTTTGGTGGTCCACAGAAAAATTATTTGCATTTTTAATATTGCACTAAATCAGGAGTTCTCAAATTACGGCCCCTGGGCTGGATACATGCAATGAACATTTGTGTTGCTTCAGAGAGTCTCCCCCTTCAGGGTCTTTTTGTGTGGTCAGAGGGGAGCAGAAATTCCAACTTGGGGTCTGCTTCGGCCTCCTGTTGCTGGGGCTTTGGGCGAAGGCTGGGAGGAAGCACCAATAGTGGCAAAGAGCCGGAGGGCCTTGTTCCAGTGGGACAGCATCATGACCTGGAACTGGCTGACCATCTCAGCCTGCTGAGCCTCCAGATGCCGATACCTGGCCTTGCACTCCTGCAGGTCTTCCCTCTGCTTGGAAAGCCTATGCTCATAGTCCTCAGTGAGGTGCTTCTGCTAAGCCTCCTTCTCGGTCAGATCCAATTTGAACTGAGCTGTTTTGCCAACTCTTCCTTGTGGTGGCTACTTAGCTCCAACAACTGCTTCCTGTTGGAGCCCTAAGGAGCCCAGGTGGGGAGGCAAAGAGTTGGCCACGCTCACCCAGTCACATGACCACCTAGCCATGCCCACCCAGCCAGTTATTAGGCAGATCATATTAGTTTTGGGATCATATTAGGATTTAAAATTATGAATTTAGTGGTCCCTGAGGTTCAAAAGATTGGTGATCCCTGGTTTATAGGGTTCCTAAGAGTCGACACCAATATTAGGAGTGGAGGGGAATGTTCATCTCAAGGCAAAATCAGCTTTCTGGATGGTATCCCCAAAACTTCATAAGATGAATAACTATTATAAAAGATCAAGAGCCACACAGTTCTTTAGGCTTACTTTCTGGCATTTTGGATCAGCAACTTCATCTGTTCCAGGAAGAAATTCTGAAGGCTCTTTTTTACAGATGTATCCTAATTCCTCTTCACAGAAATGATCTGCCCAGTATCCATTCTGAGGATGGAAAGGTGAACAAACCTCAAAAAGAATATTTTACTTGTACCCTGTTCTATTTTTTATTGTTTATATCATTTTATAAATATAAATTTATATATCAAAGGAAGAGGGCTGTGAATATATCTACAGACCCTCACATCCTGGACATAAATTGTTTCAACTTCTATCCTCAAAACGACGTTATAGGGCATTGCACATCAGAACAACTAGACACAAGGGCAGTTTTTCCCCATGCCATCACTCTACTAAATAACTAATTCCCACAACTCTGCCAAACTATTTACTAAGGCTATATTACTATTATTCTTCTCATCCTCCTATTACCTATTTCCTTTTTTACTTATGACTATAACTTTGTTGCATGTATCTTTATGATTTATATTGTTTTGCTTAGTTTCCTAGAATGATTTATGTTGATTGTTTATTTAGTATCCTATGACTATCACTAAGTGTTGTATGTATGTATGATGAATATATTTATGGTGACTATGATCGTGATTTATCACTTATATTTTTTATGTACACTGAGAGCATATGCACCAAAGACAAATTCTTTGTGTGTCCAGTCACACTTGGCCAATAAAGAATTCTATTCTATTTTATTTTGCTTTTTTTTTTCTTCATGAGCTGGACCACTGCATATTACTTGTTATATCTGCATTTGTTTAAAATCTGCAGCCATACTAACATCTTGCAAAAAAAGATGTTAAGTGGTTACATTTATATTTAATTGGGAATGGTAAACATAGCTTTTCACCTACAAAAATTAAATTATATCAAAATATAATTCATAGATATTACGTCAAGTTTCTAAAATGTAAAATATATTGTATTTTTTCAAAAATAAACAGCCAGTAGCAAAGTTAATCTAAATTTAGCATGCCTAAGCTTTCATTTTTTATTCAATGCAGGTTAAAAGTTTATTCCCAGTCTTCTGAAAAAAATAGTCAACTGAACTCAGAATTTGTTTCTTTGTTTACTTACTTATTAGAATGTAATATACTTTAAAGCAAAGTATTAATTACATAGTAGCAATCCTATGCAATATGAATGGACAGTTAAAGAATCTTGGGGTCCATGAGGCTTCTGAATGTTTGTTTATTGCTTTAGCAACTCCCAGAACCTTCTCTAATTACTAGAATAAGCCAAAAAGTATGCTTTATGTATCATTTTTAAACCAAGATATTTATTCCAAACAAGGTTAGTTTGACTAACCCTGCTTACTTTATATAATTAATCTATTTATTACTATCCAGTGGTGGGATTCAAATAATTTAACAACCCATTCTCTACCCTAATGATTTATTCCAACAACCAGTTCACCAAACTGTTCAGAAAGTTAACAACTGGTTCTCCCGAAGTGGTGCAAACTAGCTGAATCCCACCACTGTTACTATCCCACCAAACTATTATATTTATTACTATCCTCCAAATTATGTGATATCCTTAACCACAAAAGCCATCATTTCTTTTTAGACTTAAATACCCTTAGGTATTCATTCCTAACTCTGATAAATGATAAAACCTTTACAAAAAAACATTATTAAACAAAAAAACAATAATTATCATCCATAAAATCAGGTCAATACTAACAGAAAAAAAAAACAAGCAAATACAGTATTAACACTAAAAAAAACCCCAACAGAACAATATATTTAAAACAATACTCTGGGATGAGCTCCAGAATATACACATCCATAATTATTTAAAGAAGGTATTAACACAGAACTGTCAGATAAATTAAAGCGGAACAACCAAACATTAACTCACTAAACTAAATTTTAAGTCTCTAATCCCCTTTTAAAGGCTTGAAAATAGGTGTATTATCGAAAGCAATGTTTCTTGTCATATGTGATGGTCTTGTAAATTGCTAAATTATATTGAATAAATACAATAATGACAATGCAGAAAATATTTAAAATACAGATATTAACAAAACTTAAGCCTTTCTTCAAGGTATTATGGACAAATGGATAGAAAATCACTTTGGGACATTATTTCTCTACATGGTTATCACTGCTATTATTGTTTATGTTGAGCATTTGAAGGAAAAGGGATGCCAACTATTGAAGAGGAGACTTTAAAATTGATTGTACTGGCAGAAATGGCAAAATTAACTTTGTTGATTTGAGACAATGGATTAGAAAGTTTATAAGAGACTGGAAGCTATTTGTGAATTTTCTGTGTGTCAAATACAATAACAGATAGTTAACAGAAGGCTTTGAAGATTAGTTCTAACTTTGGGGTTATCTGTTGAGTGTTTTTAGTAACATAGTGATCAGAGGTTGGATCAAGTGGATTGCTAGATAAATAGTTTTCCACATCAGAGACTTTTTAAAAACGTAACATAGTATTTGTATCAAATATAGATGAGAAAGTTTATAATTATTTATAGACCTGTTATGTTAGGGAAGGCGAACTCATCAGGTACTTTTGATATATTTGTCAATATTCAGCCAGGATGGACTTCCTTTGTTTGATGTCGCTGGGAATGATGTATTGGGGGGGGGGGGGTTTCGTACAATTTTTTTTTATCATTCATGTCAGATACTTGTTAATTTCTTCTTCTTTTTCTTTGTTTGTATTTTAACTTTGAAAAACAATTTTTTTTTAAAGAAATCAGATTTTTTTTCAGGTGTGGTCATAGAACTCTTGGATCCATGAAAGTAAAATTATTTGCCAAGCCCTATTGAAAAATAATACAAAACTAAAATCCTATCCAACAATTGTGAGAAGTCTAGCTGCAGCAGATATATCAATTTTAATTTAGTAGGATAAATATCAGTAACTCATACAAACAAAAGTTCTTTAGAAGTTCTTCATAATTTTTAAATGTGGAAAATATTATGGAAAGGAAAAAGTTTAAGAAACATTGATCTATAGAATAAATTATGTTATGGAATAATAGATTGTATCAAATAAATTTCTAGACACAAATTTTATCCAAGAGAGAACTGAAGAGAGGGGGAAAAATCCACTGGATAATTAAGGGTTCTTATTGCTACCTTCCCAGTCATGATGATACAGTCTTCCTCCACGTTGCTTATAAGTGTGGGTTCTCCTTTCTGCCATTTGATGAAACTCACAGTAGTACCATCACTCCATTCAAAATATGAAGAAACCTTCTGGTCATTTAGTCCTATCCACAAATTATCTGTCGATTCTAAAAAGATAAATTCATTTTATTCATTTGCTCTCAAATTTAATGAATGAAGTACAGAGGTTGTATATAATCCTCCAGCCCATAGAACTCTGTGCTATGTTGGTCAGGATATAAGAGAGTTTATATGTGACATAATTACCAAATGTCTATGCTAATCTGTCATGGATGTATGCAGCAGTTGTTGTATCATATAAACCACACAAGCTGAATAGATTTTTTACAAATATTTTAAGGCCTAAATAAATACTTTTTTTTTCTTGTGATGGCAACATCAGCAGCTATTCCTTTCTTTTCCTGGCATCCATGTACCCACAGAGTATATGAAACAGGAAATAAGCCTTCTAAATATACTTACCGTAGCCAAGCTGAGAAAAAACAAAGCTGTATTCCTCAATGTCATGTATACTTAGTAAATGTCCACCATCCTTTTGGCAAGAGACTGAGGCACCCTTCCACGTTTTGCGATCTCTGTTCAGACGGTAACAGTGCTTTGCATACCCAACCCAGCCATCTGGACATTTAATTGGCTTAAGATCATCTAAAAAAGATAATAGTTATATGTACACCATCAAGAATTAGGACTGGAGGAAGGGAGAAAATCTTGATCTTGTACTACAATGTAATTAATTCAATAAATAAAATTTAGTTAAAGGAAATCTGACAATCCATCTTAAAGATAAGGGTAATTTGTCCATTGTCATGAGGACATTTTCTAGAAGTGTCATTAGGATCTAATTTTTTTAGTCTAATTTTTCATGGAACAGGCAGGTACTAAAGTAGCAATTTTTTATGTCCTATATCATTGTATAAATATTCTAAAATTATTAATGCTTTTTTAATAAATTACAATGCATGTTAATTGGAATAAGTATTTTTTACCAGATCGTTGCTTTCTTTCAAAGCTTTCATTTTACTTTATAGAAACATATAGACACTTTCTTGAAAAGAAATTTGGAAACAAATCTAAAGTAAAATTACCCCACTATGTGGAGAAATGTATATAAAGTTATTATAGGCAGTTCGGGACAAATTTCTGGTCATTCAGTCTTTATAGTCATAAGTTGAAGCATCTGTCTGATGGGATCTCATTTTACAATAGTTTTTGCAGAGTCATTAAGCAAATAACTGTAGTCATTAAGCAAAATGTGCAGTTATAAGTGTCAACTCATTCTTCCAGCAAAAAAAAAAGAGACATAAATCATGGTTATGTGACTATGGGATGCTGCAACTGATCATAAAGGCAAACTGGTTGGCAAGTACCCAAAGTTCAATCATATGATTGTGGGAGGTGGGGGTGACATGACATTTTATGGTGGCCAGAAGTGCTTTATAGGACTGATTCTGGCCCTGTCTTAATTTTGAGTGATTGTTAAGCAAGTGGCTGTAAATCAGGGTGGATAAAAATCAATGATTTTTTTTAAAAAAATCAAAAAAATCAGATTTTTTTTATTTAAATCGGATTTTTTTTATTTAAATTGGATTTTTTTTATTTAAATTGGATTTTTTTGATTTTTATCGAATTTATTTTAATAAAAAACTTTTGGGGTAAAAATCTATCATAAGATAGTTTTCTATTTAAGTTACATAAATAATTTAGTTTATTCAGTATGAAATGGAGCTTAGTTATGTAGCATAAGGCTGTATATTCTGCAACACTGGGACTATCGGTGAGTCAACAGTGGGTCAAAGGAGTAGCAGAGATGACAGTTGCTGACAGTTGCTGACAGTTGATTTAAATCAAGCCTTTTTACTAGTGATTTAAATCATGATTTAAATTGTGATTTAAATCAACTCGATTTAAATCAAATCCACCCTGCTGTAAATCGATGAATACTTGAAGATTAGGACCTTTCCTATGCATCCATACCTTTAGCTCTGCAAATCTTCAGATTTTAATTCATCTAAGAGGAGTACTACATTTCATATTAAAATGTTCTGAAATAAAACTGACTCAAAATGCATTTTTAAAAAATTCTTTAGGATATTAGATAATCAAACTAATGATGGAAATTCAGCATCTCCCTCAGGGGTAAAATGCACTTACCTTTGCTACTGGATTGGAAATGTGAGTGTGTGTGCACTTGTGCTCACTATGCTTGCGTGCACCTTCTCTACACATGCGTAGAACTTTCTGCACATGCACTGATGGTAAAAAATGAGATGTCATGACGTCCAGGCGGGTGGGGGGAACCTCCCACTGCCGGCCCTACCGGCTCACGCAAGCCAGATAGATCCAGCTGAATTTCACCACTGATCTCCCTCTACTCCCAGCTGTAATAGAAGATGTGTATATAGGATTTTTAGACTGCCTTCCCTCCTGCCACTGAGTGGACCCATTGGCCTAAGCAAAATTACTTCTGCACAACGTGCATTCAGAATCTGAATCTCTGCATGTTCTCCACCTCAGGTAGATCTATTCTATCACATTACTCACAAAACCATCACTAGGAAAAGAATGCAAAAATGTTATCTGGAGAATGTGTGCCATGCATATCAGTGAAAGAATATTTATTCAGTTAACTTAATTTACAATCTACCTGAAGAAGGTGCAGATGCCTGTTTTGAAGAGTTCATTCTTTTACAGATATATCCACATTTCTGTTCACACAGATTATTTGCCCATTTGCCATTCCTACCCTGCATCAATCCACAGTTTTTTCCTGTTTCAGAAGAGGGGCTACCTGTAAAAGAGAGTGATTGTCCTATCACTGTTTGATGTTCAAGATGATAACATTTTTATCTGTAAACAAATCAAAACTGATTTTTTTTCCTTATCTCCAATACCTTTTCAAGAACATGGAATCCAGAAATATATACATTATTATAGATAAGTGTGTATGTGAATTGTATGGATAGGTATAGATATGTATAGATATGTATAATTGTATAGAAATAAGGTATAAATTATTATTATATTATGTTTAAATAACATATAAAGTTTAAGAAATATATTAATATTTTATCATTAGTATATTATGTATTAGTTTAAAGTGTTAGAAGATACTTGGGACCAGTGATGTCATATCTTTGTCCAATGTTTTTTATTTTGAATTATTAATAAAAAACATTTTAAATTAAAAAAAAGAACATGGAATCCGCTATAATATATATGTATGAGCTTTTCAATATCTACTGTAGTAAGTCTGCAATTCTATAGTGGCTGCCTACCTTCAATCAGTGACCCTTGATTAGATCAAAGGGGCCAGCCAGATCAAGCCTTTATATGAGGCAGAACAATTTTTCAAGCCAAGGCACAGCTTCCATCTCATCTGTCATGAGTGACAGGAGTGGCATATCAGTGAGGAATGGAGGCACCTTGCACAGGTCTACGAACTCTACACAAGAGGATTATTACCACATTCAGCTAAACACAGCTGCTGAATCTCTTTTCAGAGTTTTCTATCAGGGTTAGGACATCTTCAAGGTGCTCAAAAATGGTATCAATATTGTAAGAATCAATATTTATATACAATATACATAATACAAACATGCCAGCACACTTCTATAGAAAGTGTCAATTAACTCAAATACATTTTAGGACGTAACAAAAGCTTTATAACTGTACATATTTACCCACCTGGAGCCCAGTTTAAATATCTTAAAGGTTGGTCATTAATCCACTGCCATCCACTGTCAAAATCTGGATTATTCAAACCAATCCAGTAGTTGGCTTCAAAATTACTTGTTAATCCTATTTGAGAAAGAACATTCACATATTGTTCAATTCTGAACAAGTCTGAAGACAGACAGTCAGACAGACAGACAGACAGACACAGTACAATTCAATCTGAAATACAACTATTATCTTTCTCTTGGTCTCTAATCATACCTTTAACATTATATGTAGTGCAAGGAACATAACAACCACTATATAGTATGTCTGGCAAAGCAAAAGACACACAGAGTGCAAGATACTAATTAGCAGTCAGCAGACACAAGGAAAACTTCACTGAAGTTGTTACCTAATCTGCATGAAAACAACCAAGCTCAACGTGCACTAAGGAGTCCCCAGTTCAACCCTGAGCTACATATATTCTCTTCTATTTGTACAATGAAAATTCCTTAATTTCGCAACACATGAACAGACACAACCATAATTTCCATTGGGGAACTGCAAACATTTTAGATCAAACTAAATTTAAAAAAAAAACCTGCTAGGGAACTCTTGAAATTTTTGGCACTTGAACACATCAGCCATCAGTAGGCACATAGAAATAAATTATATTTACACATGATTCAAAAGAGACATTTAAAAGTTAAGAATGAAACAAAAAAACCAGACACATCATTTTCAGCCTTAACATCTAGAAAAGGAGAAATTAACACCAAACAATCAAGCAGAAAACAATACCCTAAGGTAAGAACAATTAAGGAGAAAATCAGAGCCCCACCAACATTGGCAGAGTAAGATACTGTTATAAACAGGGAGCAAACACCACTGAAGCTATTACAGTCAGGTAAGTAAACAACCAAGCTCAAATCAAGGATTTCATAGTTCAACCTGAGCTATTGTTAGTTATATATTAATGACAAATCAATCAGATAAACTTTCATTTTGGAATCCAAATTCAGTTGATGAATTTCAGTTTGATAAAGGCAGAAGGAAAATGTCAAAAAAAAAAATCTTTGCAAATGGATTATTCAAACTGAGATGGTTTGAAAGTGTCAAATATTTTTCAGAAGGTAATTGCTCTGGAAGAAAAATGATGTTTTATTATATGAAGCATTTGAAATAGCTTACTACGATGAGAAAATATTAATTATCAGAAATGTTTTAGAAGCCTTTTAAGAAATGTTTTGTTATACCTGCCAAATATCCTTGTTCATATAGTTCATTGATGCTCAATAATTCTGAATGTTGTTGCTGACAGCTTTTTCTTGCTTGATTCCATGTTAGAGCTGAGAGGAAATTGATTTGGTAGAGATCTCCTGTCCAGTGATTTTTGATCCAGAAAAAGTCATTATTTTCATCTGTAAACATTATGAAAAATAGAATCAGCTCATTAATAGCAAAGTCCTGAGAGAATTTAAATGTTTTTATTCATATTTTCATTGCATAGTTTAGTTAATAAGAGCTGCCAAAAACTGAACAAAGTTGGCAGATTTTGAATGGTGCTTTGCTTCATCAAGCCACCCAGTGAAGTAAATCAGCTCCCCACTTCTCGCCATATAACTTCACTTGATAATAGAGATATCTGTCCCTGCGTATCATGAGGGAACCCAAGCACCCTTTAAACTTTGTTCTTCAGGACATCCTTGCACAACATTTAACAATCTATCTCATGTTTCGACTATTGCAACATGCTTGTATGGGACTTTACTTGAAAATAGGTGGTAGTAATTGTAGATAGTAATCTAGACGTCCTTCTATGAGCTCCCTATTGTAATGGAAACCAGCTGGGTTTTCTCCTTTTGGTTAATTTTTGGCTGACTTTGCTTTTCAGCAGCAGACAATTGTCACAAGTTTTAGTTTTTCTAAGTTTGACATTTAGTGCTGTCATATCCAATTTTTGTTTATTGTGAAACAAGTCTGGGTGGTGGAATTTACCCAAATCCACATATTGGGGTTGAAAAACTACTCAAAATGATGCAGTGAAATGAAATAAAGTTGTATTTAGTCATACAAGAGTATAATACCTGACCCAGGTTCAGATAATCCTCCAACCAATTTTTCTCTCTTTTTAGCCTAGCTTTTAGCCTAGGAGGGGAAAAATGTAATCCTCATACCTCCAATTATGATGACTTTAAAAAAAAAAAAAAAAAGAAGGAAGGAAGGAAGGATCAGTTACAATTTTTAAGAAATTAGTAATCAGGAACTTGCAGAGTGAATGTTTGTAAGATTGACCAATATAGCACTGATTTTAGAAGTGCTAGCTTCCTTTCCTACTTCCCATTCTATAAGTTAGCAAATCAGAACAAACAAATAAACAAACCACCCAGTGGAGAGCTCTTAGAGCAATCAGAGAAAATTCATTTGTAAAGGGTGTCATGCTAGTTTCTCCAACAAAATATGAAAGGTTGGGGGGGGGAGATTCCCTGAGGAGAAGTTTGATCCTGATCACTGAAAACAGAACTAAAGTGCTTTGTCACTTACTTGTTTTGGGATTTTTCCCAACATCCCAGTGTAGCCTATAGCCCTGAGATCCGTCATCTTCAGGCTGGTGTCTTCGGCTTTCCTCACACAAGCACGAAGCCGAAGACACCAGCCTGAAGATGACGAGTGGGACCTCGTCGAAACGTCGCCAAGATACTCTCAATCTTACACGGGAAAAGACCTGAATACATCAAAACTTGCATACCTGTACCCATGAAAACCTCCGAAAACACATATATACAATATGTGTGTGTGTGTGTGTGTGTGTGAGTGTGTGTGTTTGTTTTTAAACATAAATATGTATGCTCCCATGCGTGGAAACCAGTTTGGTCTAATGGTTAAAGCATCTGTCTAGAAAGGGGAGGTTGTGGGTTCAAGTCAGTGGTGAAATCCAATTTTTTTTACTACCGGTTCTGTGGGTATAGCTTGGTGGGCATGGCAGGGGAAGGATACTGCAAAATCTCCATTTCCACCCCACTCTAGGGGAAGGATACTGAAAAATCTCCATTCTCACCCCACTCTGGGGCCAGCCAGAGGTGGTATTTGCTGGTTCTCTGAACTACTCAAAATTTCTGCTACTGGCTCTCCAGAACCTGTCAGAACCTGCTGGATTTCACCCCTGGTTCAAGTTCCATCCTTACCATGAAAACCAGATGTATGACTTTGAGCCAGTCACTCTCAACCTCACTATTGTAGAAAAAGTAGGAGCAGGAAGGTATGTTGATATGTTTTCTGCTCTGAGTTGATTATAAAAATAATAAAGGTGGAATACCAAAAAAATAAATGCATCATCAAATAAAAGTTTACCTTTTATTGGACAATATCCAGTTAAAGAGTCTTTGTCCACATCTGAAGTTGTTCCACACCAAAATTGTTCGTGTTCATCATCAACTATGCATTTAGCATGCCATTTATTCATATACTTGAAAGGAAACACACAAGGTGCTCCCAAGGAATTGCCTTCTATAGTGAATAGAGCTATAAAAAAATCAAACATATCCATGTTAGATTTAGAAGTACGAAAATGAGAAAAGAAATGCTATACAAAAAATCTCAGCATTTAGTTCTAAGGCATTCATACAGTTTACTTCACTCAAGGAACAATTTTCAGAATTTAGGTCTTAGAATAAATATATGCCATTTTTTCTCAGATGATATAAAAGACAAGAATACTACTATATTAAAGAAATACTAGGTAGTAGTATAATCTGAGATTACATCTTTAGTATCCAATTTATTTCAATTTTCAGTTAAAGAGATTCAAAAAATAGGAAGAGAATTTAAGTAAGCAAATTCAGCCAGAAGAACTAATGTTTGAACATTTACCTTCATATTTCTGGTCACACAAGCTCTTCTTTGTTCCATAGATCTTCCAAACACTTTTTGCGGAGTGGTTTTCTGATAGTATAATCCCATTCTCATGGCCATTAGCAGGATTTAAAAACAAATCTTGTTTTACAAGGGCAAGCAACGTGTTATTTCTGCATTCCCATTTCTGTAATTCAATAGTTTCATTGCACGGTGATAGTGTAACTGAAACCATGCTTGAATTTGAAGGCACACTCAGGCATAACTTCACTGCCATATTCAATAATTGATAATCGGATACCCACTTAAAATTTTGCCATTCATTAAACTTGTCGCAGATTTCAAAGGTGAAGGAACGAGATTCTTGAAGTTTTAGGCAAAGATGAAGATTTTCATTGTATATCAAAAAAGTGTCACTATCTACAAATGAAATAATAGTAGTAATACAAATAATAGTAATAATACAGAGTAATGGTATTGATGAGATGACAGATAGATAGATAGATAGATAGATAGATAGATAGATAGATAGATGATATAAATATTGATATAGATATTGATATATAATTTTCCATGAATAAAATATGGTTTAATATAATTGAGTTTTTACTGTGTTTCCCATCTCCTGTACAATTTAAACATTGAAACAATTCTCTCAGATGTCATGTATTTAAAATTAGTCCTTTCTGTTATTTATTCTTATTATAATATACAAACAAATGAAATATGTTTTTTAAAGATATAAAAAAGAGAAAAAGACTTTATAATGTTAACTTCTAAACTATTATTTTACATGAAATCAATAATTACAAAGATACATACTTTACTATTAAGAAAGTAACACAAACATAACTGTAAAAGTGTGACATTCTTTTTAACAGAATAAAAAGTAAATTAATTAGACTTTTTATTCTGTTAAAAAGAATGTCACATGAGTGTATAATTATTTATACACATGAGTGTATAAATAATTGGAATATAAATACATATTTATTTAAAACAATTTGAATAATTCAATAAATATTACCTGATATTTGAAAAGCTGGATGAATGAGAAATAAAAAATTTAGGAACAAAAAAGTAGGCATTGTAAACGATAAAACATTCCAGAAAACACTGAAATTAGGAAGCAACTGAGATAGCTTCTTTTGAGGAACTCCTTTATATATAAGAGCAAAGAAGAAAGCAATATTTACTTCTGCCTTCAATCTTACGAAATGTGTATTGTAATAAGGACAACTATAAATAGTATTTGGCTTCTATGTAAAAGAACTATTTCCACAGAAATTTCTTCAGGAATTTGTAACTAACATTAAACACTAACTAGTCATATATCTATATATTCTTACAGTATATGCCTATTACACATTCTATTTGAGAATAAGAAACATTATATATGAAATGAAATAGAGAAACATTAGATTGATAGATAGATGAGAGAAAGAGAGAGAGATGATAGAATAATTTTATTGTCACTTTGAATGCATACTAATCAGCATATATTAAAATGAAATTTCATTACACACAGCTCTCAGTGGATCACTACCTCCAATATAAACTATATAAACATGAATAAATAAATATAATAAATAAATAAATAAACATAATTATGCATATACCCACATATATTGGGTATAAGCATAATATATTGGGTATATGCATAAAACAACACAGTCTAGTATGTGTACATGTAAATGGCGAGAAAAACGAATCTTGAGAGTTTACCAGACGGATGGCATAGAGAACAAAGTTGTTATAGAATGTGGTAATCCTGCTAGAAATATTTTGAAACCTCCGAGAGGGCAGCAACAGAAACAGATTGTGAAGTGGGTATGTGGGGTCTCTGAAAATGCTTTGAGCTCTAAGCACATAGCACTTATAAGCAGTATCCTGAATAAAGCAAGCTTCCTATAATCTTCTCGGCTGTCCTTACCACTTGCTATATGGGCTTTCTATCTGAGGCACTGCTGCCATCAAACTAAACAGTGATGCAGTTTGTTAAAATCCTGTCAATCAAGCCTCTGTAAAAAATGGCCCAGACAGAAGAAGAAAGATGTGCTCTCCTCATCCGATACAGGCACTGGTTTGCACACTTCACTAAGGATGATGTATGGAGAGACCAGTTCAGATTGTTAGTTATCTGCACCCCCAGATACTTAATACTGTTGACCACCTCTACAGCCGCATCCATGATACTGAGTGGAGCAATGGTGGGTTTCAAAATTTTTTACTACCAGTTCTGTGGCTTGGTGGGCGTGGCTTGGTGGGCGTGGCAGGGGAAGATTACTGTAAAATCTCCATTCCCTCCCCACTCCAAGAGAAGGTTACTGCAAAATCCCCATTTCCTCCCGATCAGCTGGGATTTGGAAGGCAGAGAATAGATGGCCAGTCAGAATTTTTACTAGTGGTTCTCCGAACTATTCAAAATTTCTGCTACCGGTTCTCCAGAACTGATCAGAACCTGCTGAAACCGATCTCTGGAGTGGAGTATGATTATGCCGGCTCTTTCTAAAATCTACAATGATCTTTGTTTTATTAACATTTAGAACCAGGTTACTTTCATTGCACCAGTCCACCAGAGCTTTCACCTCTTCCCTATAAGACAGGGGTGGGTTCTACTTACCTTTACTACTGGTTCACAATGGGATCACGCACGTGCGCATGTGCTGAACTTCTGCGCATTCAATCAGGGGCAACCGACCACTGCTATAAGCATCATCATTGCTGTTCCAGATAAGACCCACCACTGCCATGTCATCCACATACTTCATAATATGATTCATAGCAGATCTGGCACAGCAGTCGTGGGTCATCAAGGTGAACAGTAGTGGACTCAAGACACAGCCCTGTGGGGAACCCGTACTCAAGGATATGGAAACTCTTCGTCCAACAAACTGGGCCTATCAACAAGGAAATCCAACATCCAGTTACATAAAGGAGTATTAAAACATAATATTCAGTTTGTTCACCAAATGCTGAGGAATGATTGTGCTGAACACTGAACTAAAATCAACAAACAGCATTTGCACATTTATTTATTTATTTATTTGATAATATTTATATGCCGCCCTTCTCCCACAGGACTTGGGGCTGTTCACAGCAATAAAACGAGACAATAAATAATGCTAAAAATCCAACTTAAAATCCCCAAATTAAAACTATAGCTCCCAAACAGATCAGAAGATTTGCTGAAAAAGCTATGTCTTCAGGTCACTGCAGAAAGAGTGGAGGTCAGGGGCCATCCGGAGCCCAGTGGGTAACTCGTTCCAGAGAGTTGGTGTGGCCACAGAGAACTCCCTCATCCTGGGCATCACCAGCCGACATTGTCTGGCTGATGGCACCCAGAGGAGGGCAGTCCTATGTGAGCGCACTGGGTGGTGGGAGGCCAGTAGAAGGTGGTCCTGCAAGTATTCTTCTCCTCCAGGTATGCCAAGCTAAGGGGAAGCACACAGGAAAGTGCATCATGTATAGAGTATATTTGACCTGATAGGCACACTGTAATGAGTCAAATGTAGGGAGAACGCATGAAACCATATACTATATTCAGTCAATGACTGGTAAAATTTGAAAATATATGACATAAAAGTAAAATCAAATGGATGATATAAAATATTAGCATAACAAGAATTTTCTATTATAAAAAATATAAAACACTTTCATGATGATATTAATTACATCTGGAAATATAAATCTATTTATATTTATATAAATATAAATGTAAAAATACATTTACCTAAAACAAAATAACTAATGTGATAAATTTGAAGTATTGATTTTTTTTCTTACTTTTATCCATAATAGTATGTGAAATAATCAGAAGCTATCATAAATCCTTATTTTACTTTTTAGTGATGATCCTTTTCTTTATTATCCCCCACTTGCACTTACCTCATTCAGCCACCAACTTTCTGTAATTCAAATTCATTTCTCACCTCCATACTATTTTTTGTGATATGCCAAAGAGAAAAATTTTGGTTTTCTTACTCCTTTCTCCCTACTCCCTACTCCTTTCCAAATCTCATTCACTCAATTTATATACTGTTCTTTTTTCAAGCAGCTTATCAATTAATATCATAAATACATAACTATTAATAAAAGATTCAAAATGGAACAACTGATGAGAATTAAAATACAATCAGCCTAATAAGCCACCCCTTGCAAACTCTTCATTTCCTGACGGGTGATATATTTCCTGGTTGGTTGGATATAAGCAACAATACTTTGGCTCAAAATGTGTTTTCTGGATTAAAGAGTTTAGCTCGCATAAAAAAATTTGAATACACTTGTCAAAATGTGCCCAAAACCACCATTGCTGTTGTTACTATTAACCGTAAATGAATCATGTGGGATAGTGACAATTAAGTTGGAAAATCTGGTCTGCTCTTTCCTTTCCTTTCCTTTCCTTTCCTTTCCTTTTCCTTTCCTTCCTTCCTTCCTTCCTTCCTTCCTTCCTTCCTTCCTTCCTTCCTTCCTTCCTTCCTTCCTTCCTTCCTTTCTTTCTTTCTTTCTTTCTTTCTTTCTTTCTTTCTTTCTTTCTTTCTATTTTACTAAAAAGTATTGTATGATAGGCATCCACAGACAGTAATATCTACTTCCTTGGATTTCTATTCCTTCTACGGACTCAGGGTACCAGTAAAGGGTACCAGTGTCTCCATTGTGCTGTTGAGTTTTACTGAACTATGATCCTCTTCATACAAACTGCTTTGATCGTCTCTCCATCCTGGGACATCTCTTGGGACATTGAAAGGGGCTTTAAAACGTCGAAGGGGCTTTAAAATCTTTGCCTTCAATTTTATTCTTCCTCCTTCTTTCCTGGGTTAGCACATATAATTTGGTGATCCTTTTTTCCCCCCAGCTGGCTAGTCTTTACACATGATAAAAAATTATGTAATTGTAGATTGCAGAGTGCTTTAAGATCTGTGTCCTGCTTCAGGACAACTCTCTCTTTTTCTTGATTGAATAGGGTTTCAAATATTTCTATCTGAAAGTCCCTGGGTTGGCCATTTCAGTTTGAACCAGCATCTTATGTCTTTGCAGACTTAGCCCCTGCTGCATACATAAAGGCATGCACTACTCAAATAGTGATCTACCACAAGATCTTTGCAAACCAGAAAGATGTCTGCTACAACACCTCTGTATGTCCCAGCTGACTGACTGCAACTTGCTAGTTCTCTGGGTTGACTTTCACCCAGATCTCAGATAGTTAGAGCTGGATTCCTATGAGTAATAGTGTACACAGTTAATCTGTAGCCTCTTGGCCCTCCTTTCTTCCATGTCTTCCAGAGACAATTCTGGGCACTACGTAGATATTTTTCAAAGTGACATACATTTTTTTTTACTGTTTCAATTTACATTCAAGAATTCAAAAAGAGTATAATGCTTTTGGATTACCCAAGTATGCAATACCTTAATTTATTCCACCATCTTCAGGGACACTTACTGCTTACCTAGGTGTTTCTAAACTGAAAATGATTATTATAAATATTTGAGTCGTATATAATGGCATCCAGCCCAAAGTCTTCTCTTAGAATGCAACATTTACCTCCTTCTCTTTCCATCCAGGTCCCTTACAGATTTTCAAAGTCCAGATTCCTATTTCTGATGTTGTATTGCAGGGGTCTTTTCTTGACAGCGTTAAGACTTGTGGACTTCAACTCCCAAAATTCCTCCTCCAGTCATTTTAGCTCAGGAATTCTGGGAGTTGAAGTCCACAAGTCTTAACGCTGTCAAGTTTGAAGACCTTTGTATTTGCAAAATCATTTAAGTTAACGGGGAAAAACCCAAACTTTTCACAAAAAGTATTTTGTAACCATTTTCAACATATGGGTGAAAAAAATTACAACCAGGAAACATAGTATGCCTCGTTGTTCAAAGCTCAGTGACATTGTCTGTCAATGCAGATGTCAAAGTGCTGTAAGGCACAGAAAGGCTTTATTATTAAATAGCAAGATGAATTTAATACTTTACTTGTTTTATATTTTTTTAAATAATATGTTAATTTAATGGAATGAGTTTAGAGAGCTCAGGAAGACATCCAAAGTGATCTTGGTCTGCCTACAAGACATTCCTGTAATACTGGACAGCCGTGCAGTAAACTGAAGGGC